ATTGAGTTAAAAAGGCGTTGAAGTATTTCAAAATACCTTTTAAACGAGGTATAGCACATGTCTGTACCTTTAGTAGTGTAGAACTTACAAACTAACGAAATTTAGCTTTTTTTAGCTCTTTCCCGCTAAAGTAGCGGCTTTTTCCAAAAGTCGTAGAACAAAAGATTCCTATATGGAACTCTTAAGTGCAAATTTACTGATTCCATGACCCTAAAATACAGTTCGGATACCCTCCCACAAAATTCAATACTCAGGGAGCGTTAATTGTTCGAGCTGGCAACAGTGGCTATTTTCGTATAAAAATAACTATTAAACGTGACTTTTTACAGTAATGTGTTATATACCAAAATTTAAGGAATCTCAAGGGCTATACAGTTTAAGGTTTTAGAAAATCGTTAGAGCCGTTTTTGAGAAAAATAAAAAAAAGCTAAAAAAAAAGTTTTAAAAAATTGTCTTTTGTTCATATTTTTTTAACTATTACATTTACACAAATTGCATATAGAAGGCGTTTATAGCATTTCAAAATACCTTTCAAACGAGATGCAGCACAAGTCTGTAGCTTTAGTAGTATAGAAGTTGCGGCTTTCCGAATTTTAGCTATTTATAGCTGTTTTCCCGCTAAACTAGCGAGTTTTTCCAAAAGTGGTAGAACAAAAGTTTTTTATATCGATGTGATGAACGTCATATCAAATTTTCAGAACTTAAAAAACATGTTTTGGACAAGTGGACAAGTGGACAAGTGGACAAGTGGACAAGTGGACAAGTGGACAAACAGAATTAAATTTTCATTTTGGGAAGAAGAAGAAAATCTTATTTTGGCTATAACTTTTGAACGGAGCGTCGGATTTTGACAAATGACCCCTCATTCGACGGGTATTTTCAAAAGGAATACAAGTAAATCATTGCGAGGGGGCATTTATCCCCACCGGCCCCAACAGCTCCAAATTTCTAAATTTTTACTTTTTCACTTTCACCGCTCTCTCTCCCAATCCAATTGATTTTCTTAAGGTCTTGGTATGCAATCCTTTAAGTTTTTGCAATACCTTTCGATTGGTGTATTACTCATTACGATCTGACTATCACAGCAGATTTTCATTTCTTCGTGTATATATAGTAGTCGCCTTCGCACACTCTCCTGGTGCGCTTCGTCACTACATGGACTGCCGTCCATAGTGATACATTTTAGTGATTAGTATCATAAATTAATATCATTAAACAATATTATTAGTGAATTTCCTGGGATATTTTTGACAAGACATTAAGACCCAACTTCTTGTTGATTTACTTGTCCAAGTGATAAATGATTTTAATTATCGTAAACCAAAATAAATGTCAAAATTTCGCTGATTAACTTTCGATGGGGAAATTCTATAATTCTAATTTATTCCATGAATCATTTATACTTTCGGTATTTACAGTTCTCAGCTGCATTTATCTCCTAAAACCATTGTCAAATATCTTCTATACAAACTCTTCCAACTAGGTTAATGAAACTGAAACCATTAAAAACTTTTAATTTCTTCGAAACCCCGGTAAACTGGGTTGATGAAGGCAAGCGAACTCTTCATTGTGATTAACTAATCGAGCAATCGGAGACTTTTAATCTCAACACTTTCGCTTTGAGCCCCGGGGGCAGACTAATAAATGACTTGATTAATTTCGCTCAGTGCATGGTCGGGCCAAAATAAAAACTAAAAAAAAAGAGTAGGTAAATAAATAAAGTTGTCTGGGCGTAATTGCTTGGCCCCATTATTTGAGGTTCTTGTGTCGGACACCTGAGTGGCATTTGCTCCCACAGCCTCGCTTTCTTTCGGTTCGGTTTGGTTTGGTTTTGTCTTTGCTCAAGTAATTACTGTAATGTATTTATGAGGCGACTGGGCTTACACACGTTCTGAATATGGTGGAATATCCATAGAATTCTTGATAATATCTGCGAGTGCGTGGTTCTTCAGCGGAAATTATGGAATTATGTTGGCCCCGGCCCGGCCCCGATGTAAATCGCTTTTGGAAAATGTGTAGTTAAGCTGGGGATTTTCACCAACTGCAATTTTAAGCCCTAGGCCAACCTCAGCGAAAGAGAGATTTCGCCCCAATCCATTTCACCCCAGTTGCAGTCAGTAATTTCAGTGTTCTAAGCCTTCATTTTCATGGCCAACTACACGAGGTTGGCATGCAAATGAGCCCCAAGTGGCTCTCAATTAAAAGCAGAGTCAACCACACAACAAAATAAAAGTCAACTGCAGCTGATTTATTGTGTGAAACCGAAATTCTTTTCGGTGCCTGCCGTTTGGTTTTATTCTGTGACTTCTGCTTTTTTCGTGTTTTGAGAAAGTTTCTCTAGCATAGATCTCCTGTGGCCCGACATTCAGATAATGACTTGATTAAAAGTTGTCATGAGAACCAACTGCGACTAAATTGTGCAAGGCCAGAGCAGACCCACCAATCCGGTATGCAAAGAGAGCTCCAATTAAGCGAAGAAGCTCTGCGCACTCGAGCTGGAGTTCCTGCAGCGATCAGTCGGGGTATTTGCCACGAAATAGGCTTGCCCGACTATATAATAAATGTTTTGAACATATTGGACATAAAATATAAACATTAAATAGGTTTAATAAAGAATTTTCCCACAAACATAACTATTTAGTATGAGTAATAAATGTTGTGAATAAATTGCGCATAGAAGATAAATGTTTTATAGGTTTAATAAAGCATTTTTCTACAAACGCAACTATTCCGTACGATAAGGTAGAGAACATGTCAAATAATAAATGTTGTGAATAAATTGCCCATAAAGTACCTAAATTTTATAGGTGTAATAATGCACTTTTCCAACAAATATAATTAATCAGTAAGAAAAGGTGGAGAATATGTCAAATGTTAATTTTTATTTGCACATTTTTATTTCTTAAAAATTTGTATACTTATTTTACCAATAAATGTATTTACTAGTTCCAGAGATAAAGAGAGCATTTACCATATTAGTTTACAATAAATAAACAACTAACACATAAAATATAAAAAATATGTTCATTAAAGAACTTTCGAACAACTTTTTCCTATACTTTGAAATGAATTTACTAAATATTTAATTGATAAATTTCCATAATTTTAGGTAAAGTGTAACAACATGTATAGTTAACAATCAACTTTTGGCTAAAAATATTCCGTTAATTACTTTATAGCATTTAAAGTTTTTTCAATTTAATTATGATTCTTTTATAAAAAAACAGGTCAAGTCAATCACTAATAGAATTTAAATATAATTCCATTTATTTATTATACACTTAAATACATTCGAATATATATTGCTGTTCCCTGATTATTTTTAATTCATTTGTTTGGCAGAGTATACCATCTTCCCCTATCCTAGAACCTGAAAATCTCCCCTGTTCTTTCCAGACTTTTCGTTTGCATTTGCATGCCAGTGAGTTTTCGCTGCTAATCACGTTCTTAATGAAAGTGGCTGCAGTGGCCAGTTCGGAGTGGTCCGTGGACAACATTGTTGTTTGTTGTTAGTTGCATGTTGTTAGTTGTCTCTTGGCCGTTGGCTGTTGTATACATACATACATACATAGACTGACTGGGGATGGTTCTTGGACAACTCGGTGGCCACAAGTCTGGCAGTCCGGTGGATCTTTCGCTGGCAATGACCGCCATTCGCCTGGCTTTATTTGATTTTCATGTTTGTTTGGCTGTTTTTTCAGTTGTTGCGTTTGCATGCAACTCGCGTCTGGCTTTGGATTTCCACGGAGTGCAAAGTGAATTCTTGCGGGCAGAACTTTTCTTCTTCAGAGACGACCAGTTTCCAGAGCCCCTCTCGTTTTGAGTAATATTATTTATGACTTCGGCTTGGTGTCGCTGCGGCACTATTGCCTCCTCTATTTGTGTATTTATTGATGGATTCTGGCAGCATTTGCGTTTGCCCCATTTCCGTGTGGGAATTTATGCCAAGCACTCAAAAGTGCAATGGATAAACAAAGCGATAAAGTTGTGTGAAATTATTGGGGGAATTTGGGAGGAAATACTGAGAGATCTGTTTCGTGTTCAGGTATTTCTTTACCGTAGATTTAAGGGGATTAAAAGAAAGAAGAAAGTTGGGGGTATGGAGAAAGAAGACTGCTAAAGTTAATTTACTGTTTAAACAATTTCCTGTTTATAAATTAATCCCTAGATTATAGAAAGGTCTTAACATTAAGGGAAATTCAGTTGCAAGTTTGATTAATGTTAGGTTATTTCAGAGATTTCCCATTGAGCTTTATTAATCATCATAAACTTCCGATTATTGAACATTATTTTTAGAATAATCCGTTAAAGAAATAAAAAAAATTTACATAATTAATTTATACTAGTCTACACTAAATTTTCTAATAACTATTTTGTTAAGCTTGTATACAAAATGGTTTGGACATTTAAGTACAACAATTAGTCTGCATTTCTTTACCTGCTACTAGACTATTTTGTCTATATCTTCTTACTTAATCTTGACAATCTCTCGCGCATTTTGTAGTACGCACGTCAATTTAGCTCTCTAAAATTGTTTATTCAAATAAAGTTGTTTGCCCCGGCAACCTGTTGCATAGTTTCGCCAACATTATTCAACATCGTACCACTAATGACCAGCACTTACCCTCATCTCCGTCTCTTTTTCCCTATCTTTGCAGCTGTGAAGCGAACAAATTTCCCTTCTTTCTTGCCGCCGCGCATGTAGCCACATATATGGTTCATTAAAAGTGTGGCAGAACTTTGGCACTGGCGACAAGTAACGAGCGACGACTTCGACGACGACGACGACCTGTGGCAATGCTCCGGCAAATTGTGCGGGTAATTTCCAGCTCGGTTTAATTTGGTCTAAGTCTAAGCCAAATGGGCATGCGCACCGTTGGCCGCTGTCATTCGAAAGTTGCCTCTGCGTGACACACATTCGGAGCATTAGAGTTGGACTCTTCTCCGCTCTGGCAGACAAGTTGGAGCGCTGCCCTGCCGCATCTGGGAGTTATAGATATATATATATATATACCAAAAAGGGGGACCGGCAGCCAGGGGATTATACTCTGGCCTGGGCCCAAGTCCAAAGTCGGCTCTGTTGCATTATTCATGCTCTTCGGCGGCATCCACATCGACATCCAGAGCCACATCCAACGCAACGCAACGGGAACGGCATCCACGAGCGAAGATGACGCTGCGCTTAGTCAGCATATTATCGGCGGCATTACTTCTCCTTTGGCCCGCACAGCTGGATGCATTTATCACACCGAATACAGGTGAGTACGGGACGGGCTAGCGGATAATGTCTGTGAAATGTGTGGCATTGGGTGAGGTGGAGATGCAAAGTCTACGATCCATAGCCGATCGGTGGAAAACTAGCCGATGATGTGGAAAATTTCATATCGAATATTTTGATTATTTCTGACTAATTTTGTAGCCATCAAGGGAACTCTAAAAATACAGACAACATTTCATTTTAAAACAAACAAAATTCGGGATCTAAATTTGATAATTTATAATCACCTCAGAAATACCACCAAAAAATAATTTTAATATTATTGGATATTATACTTATATTACATGAATCATTTCCCTACAAGTGCATTTATGTTACATTTTAATTAGAAGGAATTAAGACATTTAGATTTTAATAAAATTTTGCTTCCGTATTTAATTTAAATACTTTTTGTTAGCCAGTTCATAGCAAAATGAGATGCTAACTTCTCAGTGACACTTTAAACTCTATACACACAGCAACTGGGTTGAGCAAACTAACAATCTTACGCCCACTTGACCACAAGGAGTTGATAGGTTCTTTTTGCCGCATGGCAATTATTATTCCAATCAAACGGCATGTGGTTACAGCAATTCAATCTGAGCCTGGGACATCAGTGGAGTCCAGCAACTGCAGGGATACCCTTTCAGAGCACTGTTTATGGGTCCCAGCAGATGAAACCTGAGGGCAGGGTGACCAACAAGCCGGCAACTGGCATGCGAGCCCCCTTAGCGATTTTTTGTGGCTCCCTATCAGAGCTTCACAAAGGATATATGGGGGCTCTTAGCGAAGAGTCCATCAGAATCGCTGTTTCAGCCACCAAAGTGCCAAACTAGAGAACAAGAGCCTTCAAATACCACAAACCTGCCTCTGGCAGAAGTGAACTCTTTGAAGGGGAAACAATTCGACTGCTCGTTCTCTATGAAAGTGATGCGACTCAAAGCTTTTAGTCCCTATCATTGAAAGACTTGAATTTAAAAGTATAACAAGAAAGGAAGCTACCTTCGGCCAGCCGAAGCTTATATACCCTTGCAGATAAAAGAATGCTCACTCGGTGCAGTTCCAGGGATTCCAGATTCAGCGTTTCTATTTATTTAAATTTTGTTTTTAAGTAGTCAAGAATCACAACGCCTACTTCCTACAAAGTTACAATGAATTTTCTTATATTTGTTTGAATATTCCTATGGGAGCCTTAAGATATAGTGGTCCGATCCGGCTCGCTCCGACATATGTACGACCTGCAATAGAAAGAAGACTTTCGGAAAATTTTCATCGCGATAGCTTTAAAACTGAGAGACTAGTTCGCATAGAAACGGACAGACGGACAGACAGACAGACGGACAGACGGACAGACGGACAGACGGACAGACGGACATGGCTAGATAGACTCGGCTATTGGTGCTGATTAAGAATATATATACTTTATGTGGTCGGAAACGTCTACTTCACTGCGTTGCAAACATCTGACTGAAATTATAATACCCTCTACAAGGGTATAAAAACCAATAGATTTTCAAGGTCGAGATTTGAAAAAATGTATTTAATTTTATTACCAAAAACAAGAGAGAACGCTATAGTCGGGTTGGTGTCCCGACTATCTAATACCCGTCACTCAGCTAAAGAAAGTGCGAACGCGGGTTGGTGTCCCGACTAATAATCGTAACTCAGCTAAAGGGAGTGCGAGGGAGATAGATATATGTAGATATTTTGATTGCGTATAACTTTTTAATGAATGGTCCGATTTGAAAAATGTCTTCTACATTTCGATAGGTATAAATATACACAACAAAATTGCATTTATACTTCTCGGAAATCGTTAAAGATGTGGGCGCAGGACCCATTTTAAAATCGTTAGTGGGCGATTGTGGGCGTTAGAGGGGGCGTGGCGCTCGGCTAAAATAAACTTGCGCTGCGTAGGAAGCCAAAGAATATGTGTGGAAAATCTCAACCTTCTAGCTTTTGTAGTTTCTGAGATCTCAGCGTTCATACAGACGGACAGACGGACATGGCTAGATCGACTCGACTAGTGCCCCTGATCAAGAATATATATACTTTATGGGGTCGGAAACGCTTCTTTCTAGCTGTTACATACTTTTGCACGAATCTAATATACCCTTTTACTCTACGAGTAACGGGTATAATAAACTATTTACAAGACGAAGCATTGTGTATTTTCATTTCAAGTTTTCTGTGTGTCAACCATTTTATATTTAGTTATTTCTATCTTCATAACAAAGAAGTGTATGTTAAAAAAAATAAATTTTAATATCTGTTAATTTGAGAAATTTATTATAACAATTAACCTCTCAGGCTGTCACCACAATGGCACTTGGTTCGCGGACAAATCGGTGGTCCCCAGCATGGAGAAGTGCCTGAATTGCCAGTGTAACCGAAAGACGCTGGTGTGTCGCCTGAAGGTCTGTCCCGAAATGCCCATGCCACCGCCCCGAGGATGTGTGGTGGTCCAGAAGAAGAGCACCTGCTGTCCCTTTCTTTCCTGCGCCAGATTGGATGCCTTCTACAAGATACCCACCAAGCGTCGCATCATCGCCTATTTGGATCACTATGAAAGGGAGTCCATTGATAGGGTGGTCAACGATAACATGCTGCAAAGACGATCAGATGATTCCGACACGGATCTGTTTGGTGAGTAGTTGATATACTCTTGATGGTTTCTTTGGGTTTTAAAATCTATCGTTTTTTTAACAGTTTGCGTGAAGAACGGCACAGTCTACAAGTCGGGTTCTGCTATGTCATCATCGAATTTGTGCAGCTACTGCTATTGCATAGGTGAGAATACTTATACACAATAAAAAAACTTGGTAAAATTAACCAACCACAAAAATTGTCAATTCTACCAAATAGTTCAAATAGTTACTTTCACAACAACAAATACACATAATTAGCAAGAACACACACCTATTTAATTGGTAGAAGCGACAGTTTTTTGTGGTTGGGGACTGTATGACAATTTCCCACCATATTTTTTCTTGGTATGTAGTTTAGGTAACCAGAAATTATTGATTTTCCCCATTTTCCACAACAGGTGGCACCGAGAAGTGTGTGAAGCCCAAGTGCATGCTGCCCGTGGACGGTTGCAAGCCCATATTCGTGGACTCCACCTGTTGTCCCGTGCGATACGACTGCAGCAGCAAGACGTCGGGGAAGTCCTCGCAGGAGGTGCGCTACAGGAAGACCTCGAACAAGCACTTCCAGCGCATGTCGCAGCGGCTGCAGCGCAATCGAGGCTGCACTGTGGGCCCCCAGTTCTACGCGGAGGGGCAGAAGATGCGTTCGGATGCGGACAGGCCGTGCGACATATGCTTCTGTATCCGGGGAACCAGACGCTGTGCCCCCAAGAAATGCTCACCGGCGCTTAAGAACTGTATTCCCGTGGTGCCGAAGGGTCAGTGCTGTCCATCGAGTTATGACTGTGGCAGCCAGAGGGATTATCGCAGGTCGCACAACTCGCGACAGTTTAATCTGTACAATATGCTCTTTGGCAAGGAGGAACCGGAGCCACAGGAAGCGGCCTTAATACCCCAGAATTCCATGGCTGAGAGATATCCGCACGATCGTCATCCCACACGGGCTCCTTTGGGGAATCCCCTGGAGGTTAGCAGTGAGAAGAGCATCATGGACACCCTACGCGAAGGTCTGGAGTTTATCGACGGTAATAACAACAAAATGCTGGCCAACAACTTGGATCTGGTGGGCATGGGAACCACCCAGGCACCACCACAGATGAGAACGGAGTCCTCCAGTGAGGAGGTGAGCAGCACTACGGCCCTGAGTTTTCTGGATTTGCTCTTGGGTCCCAGTACGGAGACCGCGGGGCACGAAGAGATCAGGCAACCGGAGTCAACTACTGTGAAGAACACACTCTCCTGGATGGACATCCTGCTGGGACCCGATGAGGATGAGCTGAACCCCAAAACGGAAGCTTATTTGGAAACTACTACCACTCTAACACAACCCGATGAGCTGAGGACTTCAACAAATAGCATTAAACGCATTGCAGAGGACTTTGATGAGCAATTGGATAGTGGAGAAATGGCGGCGGGTGAACTGCCGGCGGAAGCCCAACAAATTGGTCTGGCGAATGCCGGAATTTGGCCAACAACCGCGACGGAAGTTAAGCCCCCGCCGAAGGAGGAACCAAGTCTATTTAACGCCTTCATGGATGGTCTGTCCGGTATACTCGAAGAGCCACTCAATCAGAACTCCACGAGTACAAGTACAACGACAACCACTGAAAGACCAACCACAGTACAACACGCACCACCAATGTTCAGACCCCTGCCGAGTGGCAAGCCCCTTCACACCCGAATCAACTCGAAACTGGCTAATCTCACAGTGACACCGCCCATGTTGGTGGTGACCAGCAAATATGGTCAGCCGGTGACCCACAGAACGGCGGAAAAGAGGGTCAATGGAACCACCAGCGGCTCAGTAGCCAAAACCACTGAAAAACCAAGTGCTAGCACTACACAGCAAACAAAACTAGATACCACCATCAAAACCACAATGAGGCCAAGCACTACGGTCAAGCCCAAGCTGAAGACTACTAAAAAAGTCACAACCACACAAAAACCTACAACTCCTAAACCCTCTACTACAAAACTCACCACTCCGAAAACCACCACTCCGAAAACCACCACTCCGAAAACCACCACTCCGAAAACCACCACTCCGAAAACCACCACTCCGAAAACCACCACTCCGAAAAACACTACTCCGAAAGCCACAACTCCAAGACCTTCGACTCCTAAACCCACCACCACCACCACCACAACAACAACAACAACCACTGTACGAACCACCAGCAAACCGAAATTTAAACCTAAACCCAAACCTTATGTAACAAGCACTCCGAAACCGCTGGTGATCAAAACCAACCCAAGTATTTTGGAAGCCGAACCACTGGACACCAATGGTGAACCCACTTTGCCACCCAGTCTGCCGAACTTGAAAATAATTCCATTCCTACCAACCGATGCTGTGGATTCGGCTCCCAAGGAGAAGTATCCACCAAACTTCTATCAGCAGAAGGTGGCATCCGATAAGATGGATGTGGTTGGGTACGATACCATTGATGATTCGGTGGCTCTATTCTCGCAATCTCAGCCCAATCAGGCTGCCTACAAGTACAAGTTCAATGTGGAGGTTCCAGCAGTGGAATCCGCTCCAGAACCTGTGGTTCATGTGGGTGGCAAATATGAGGGCAGTGCAGCCTACGTTAACTTCGATTTCGATCGCCCGGTGGTGCCGCCCCCTCACAATGGCTTCTCACCGCCCACCGAAACGGAGGGAGGATTCATGCCCAAGGAACCGCTCGTTATCGATGGGGAAGTTCTCCAGGAGCATGTCACCTCGAGTGGAACTGATAACTTCCATGTCACGCAGCACATTATCGATATCACAGCATCGGGGGCGCAAACAAACGATACTGCTTCGATAGGTGGGTTTTATTTTGACCTTAAGCACTCTTCCAAATGTCAAACTAAGATACTAAGGAAGAAAACCGTTCTAAGTCTTCGTAATGAATCTATCCAATCTGATTTTTGTTTAATTTAAATCAAGATTTCACTTACGAAGTACTAGAATATCATTAAAACCACAATTTTACACTTTGTAATATAGTCAGGATTATTTACTCAAAGTTTTAACAAAGGCTATAAAAATAAATCAATTACTTAGCTTGTAGGTAGTAGTCATTTTGAACCCTTCCAATACAAAACCGACTAGTAAAATCACTCAACTTTTAAATCTGTTTAGGTTTTTGATTTGACTCAAAGATATGATATGCTTTCAATGAATTGAAAGCGCTGCCATTATCTAGATTATATCTAAAAATGTTTGTTTTGTTTTCCCCCTTTTTCAGAAATCACCACACCCGATCCCTTTAAGGATGTCATACACACAGAGCCGTCGCCCAATCTCGATGAATTAATCGTTGACAAGGCGAACAAGAAGCCGAATGAGGAACATATCGAGACCGTCACTTTCAGTGTCAGCAATTCAACAGCCTCCTCCATATCGGCATCTACCAGCAGCTCCACAACAACAACGATGACAACGACAACCAAAGCAACAACAACGGAAAAGGAAACCCCCCTGATAGATAAATATGAAATCAATAAATTAGATAAGCTCTTGGATGAGCTGCTTGGCATGGAGTTGTCCAAAGAGGAGGTATTGAGCAGCACAGTGCCTGCCTGGAAGCAACTGCCAGCGGCAACAGCAGCGCTGGCAAAATCATCATCAACAACAACAGCAACACCAGCAACAGCAACATCAACAACAGCAATAGCAACAAGCACGCCAGCAACATCGACCGCAGGTCGGCCAACAGCGACAACACGTGCTCCGGCCAAAAAGGGAAATAGTAAAACGAAAAACAAACAGACGAACGGCAATAGACGCAAAGTCCAGAGTGCCACGCGACGCCAAAGCACAGCGGCAACCACTAGAGCCCCTCCGCCAGCAGCAGCAGCAACATCATCTGCGTCAACAACCACGGGGCAGCCCACAACAACGAAGGGCACTCTGCATCCATTTTTAAATTCGCCGTTCGACAAATTACCCTTCATGGATACCAGCTATGAGGTAAGACCGCACCGATTGCAGCCGCAGCAGCAACAGCAGGCGTTGCAGGCACCGCAGCAACAGCAGCAACATGAGCAGCCACCGCAGCAATTCCACCATTACCAACATGCAACACGACCGCTAACAAGCATTCCACCGGCAACATCCCCGGAGGATGTGCCCCAGGATTTGGGTTCAGGTTCGGGTTCGGTTTCGGGGGAAAGAAATAGCAGTGGAGGAGGTGGATTTCCGGGTGGCGATGATCCACTCGGTCAGCTGAAATTGGCGGGCTGCAACATTTACGGACGCATGTACCGGGTGGGTCGGATTATCGTGGAATTATCCAGCCAGTGCCTGGAATGCAAATGCACCGAGGTGGGCGTCAAGTGCGGCCCATTAGACTGTTAATTTAGATATCCCCGAATGATCGTAATCCCCCCGGGAGTGTATAGAGGTTAAGTGTCAGTTCGTAGCAGTATGCTAATCCCTAGCTGTAACTAACTAAGGGGTAGTTAGGTAGCCTTCTCTAGACGCTAAGTTGTATTATAGAAAAATTACAATAATTTCTTTGAAAACAAATCACTTATCTTTAGCAAGGCATTTATAACATACATAAATTAGGCTATGATTAAGAAGACAAATACATTAAATATCTATAATAAAATTAACAACAACTGACTTTCAATATGTTTGGCAAAAGGGGTTTTTATTAAATTATAAGCCAAAATAATTAATTTCACTTACACATTTCTGCGACCTAAAATATGATAAATATTTATTGCATTTCAACCTTGTTGCTACATTGTCAAATAACTAATTGCAAGAAATTAATAAATACGCACAAATTTATGTGTGTCAATCTCAAAGTTTGGGGGAGACATTCCACAAATTGATTTGGTTCTAATTGCACACTGAAATTGGTTATGGAATATTTATGAAATGCCTGATTTTTAATTCCACATTCAGCGAACGCTTTAATTAGCCAAAACCACTTGATGAGTAATCGATTAATTAATTCAATAGAGACACCATTCAGTTAACAAGTGTAGGTCAATTAATTGAGTGGCAAGTGAACAGCACATAAAAACCAGCAATAAAACATTGCCCACCCTTTTATGAGGTGTAAAATAAATGTTTATTCATAACACCGAAATTATGCATGACGAACAGAGAAAGAATAATAAGTTTACAACGAATTTTGTGACCAAACAATTAGGACAGTCCATAAAAGAAATAAACTGAATAATTGCTGACTATTCCATTAAGGATGATTGCTTGATTGTCAGAATAATAACTGCTTAAATGATTCAACAAAATTTTTTCAGTAAAAGTAAAGAACAATTTCGCAAACAAATTTTATAAAGTGATTTATAATTTTGATAAGACTTGGCTGCGAATGCTCTAAGAGCTTAAATGTATTTTATTAATTAGTGGACTATTTGGCTGATGTAAAATCCATTTAAAAGAGATTTTATAACAATAACAGACTTATAGTAAAATTGACTATAATATACATATTTTCACACTTAAACTATAGAATTTATAACTAATCACCTTATTTGAGACTATACAAAAATGGCTCTATGAGTTGATGGACGGATGCGACGGTAGGCGATGAAACCGCACAGAATTCCGGCCACGCCCCCTGCAATATGGGCCTCCAGACTGATACGCGGATTGCGATTGTGATGCTGGCAAAAGTGGTTTATTGTGAAGCCCACATCGCTGAGGAACAAAATGCACAGGGAGGCGATGCGGGCATAGCGGTGCGACAACTGCGAAAAGTTCTATTCGATAACGTGAATAGGGAGACGTGTAAACATTAAATCAAAACTAAATTGCGGTTTCCAGCTGACTGACCAGAACCAGGTGCGGCACATGGCTCCCCAGCATGGCGTATACCCCGGCGGAAGCCCCCATCAGGAGGAGATGGGGCTGCAGCCAGGCGTTGGCCAACGAACCGGCAGCGCCACCCACGATGTAGACCACGGCCAGGCGACAGTGACCCTGCTCCACTTCCAGGCAGATACCTATAAAACACTGGCAGAGACATTAACCTTTGTTAGTAGCACAATGCAACAACAGGTGGAAGCGATGGTAACTCATTTTGTGGTTATAAATATCAGTGAACTAAGTAACTTCTTTATGACTTTGAAGTAAGCCTCACTTTGTTTTAATTTAATCCCTTAATCTATTAAAATATTTGATTTTGTCAAAAATATAAAAGAGGAACTTAAAACAACCCAAATATAATTTTGATACTCGTTAGGTATATTATTTGAAAACATTATTACCCTGCAGGAAACGGAATCAGTTTTGGACTATTAAAATACTAGTTGGGTCAAGAAGGTTAACTAGTTCAAGTTATGTCCATTTCCATGTAACGAAGTGGTCCATTTTTCATATGCTTGTCGTCGGAAACAACTAGTCCATTTGCTACTAGTTTTGCACTAGTGACTGTTAACCAATTTATAGTTACAGCTGTTGAACTACACTCAAAAAAATATTTTCACGAAAAAATTAAAAATAATCTCTAAACCATCAAGTGATTGAATTTCACTAGTACTTGACGATGCCTAACTTGACGCTCTCCTAATTTAGTATCCAATTAATAGGCGCGGTCCTTAGAGAATTTCTGATAATTATTATGTAATCAAATACAGTAAATGATAATTAAATGGAATTAAAACAAACTTACATTTTTTGAGGCAAGTCGCCCTCTCTAGGACTTGAACCCGGGACCTTTGGATTTGTAGGCACACTAACTGATTGAGCCATACACGCATCACATTTTGTAATGCCCTAACAAGGTTTATGAATTTTAGTGTGACATAATTCATAAACAGTGATTTTTCACATATATATTGCCTCGGACAGATTAAACAATGTTTAAAATAAAACTAAAGCATCACCTAGCAAACAAAAAACAAAAAAAAATGTACAAAGACTGGGGATTGAACCGAGGACCTCGAGTGTTTGATATGTTTAGTGCTAAATTCCTCAAGACATGTACACTCTAGGCTATATTTTTGGATCATATGTGTTTCATTTGCAACTAGTTAAATTCCAGTTGCCTTTTAACTAGACCCTAACATGTATTTGTTCTACCAGTTAAATATTTTTAAGGTTTTTTTTTGTCAGAAAGGTACTAGTCCGAGACAAGTTTCTTTTTTACTAGTTTTGTAATAATCATTTTTTCGACTAGCACAAATTTTCTAGGCCCTGTGTAGTCCAAATGCATTCAGACAAATTCCGGTTGCTTTATATTAGTTGCATAATTAGTTGTTTTTCAGACTAGTTTTCATTTTTTCTGCAGGGTAAATAATTATTATTTGGAAATTATTTTTATTTTTGCATAAATACATTCTATTACATTAATTTTTCCAGTATAATTTAGTCATTTAAATCAAACAAAATGTACGATTTACACCCTTCGATACCTTTTTATTAAATTATGAATAATATAAAAATTTGAATAAATAAAATTAATAAGTCTCATATAATAGTTCAGTTTTTTCTGGGCTTAGTTTAACTCGTATCTAAAATAAAACCCATTCATAAGTTAAATCTATGGAGTTGTATCGTATATTAAATTTGTATAGTCCGAATTTATGTGCTCACCTGTAGACAAATGTTGAGACCCAGGTGATAATAATCGGAATGTAGCAGCATATAGGTCAGTAATCGCCAGTACTCGCCGATCCACCCAGACTTAAAGATCAGTCTTTTTTGCATGCACTCATTAGCAATCCAGTGCAGTGATATCTGTTGAAGTGTAAGAAAAGACAAAGGGAAGACCTTTAATTGCATGACACCGTACTTCAAAATATTTTCAAAAAAGAAGAAAATATGAAGAGAAAGTAATTTGACGTTTTTATTTATAATTTTCATTTACATTTTAGTTATTGCTTGATTAAGTTCCTTGATCATTCTAAACTAAAAAAAATATCTGTTTTATGGTAGGACCAGGAAAGAAACTGGAAAGTGTTTTGTTATTAACATCATAAATAATAAGAATAATATTAATGTTAATTTTATTCGGACTAGTTTCAGTTAAATTGTAACTGACTCATTTTTTCTTAAAACTTCCCAACAAACTTTGCATAGCAAACAGATTCCAACCGAATTTCTTTTGGTTGACTATACTCATTTTGGATAAGCTTGTTTTAAGAACCCCGATAGCGATGTGAAATTCTCTGAAGCGCCTGCTGATATCTTATTCTTATGAATGAAACACTGGCCATTACTGTTGCTGACAGCTCAACAAGTTGAAATTAGTGGTCTTTGCCTTATCGAAGCACCCGCAACTTTGCTGAACAGTGTCATGGCAACTGACTGTCACTTTCGCTCAATCGATCGACACTTGGCCAACTGAGAAGTGCGAGTGTTGAGTTGAGATGCCGCACAATGTGCGCCGCATGAGTTGACAGCAGCCACAAAAACACGGCTGCGACACCAAATCGGTGCAACATGCATCCCGATCCCACCAAATATGACAAATGCCAGAGCTGCAAGTTGCGGCATTCGATCGGTTCGATCGATTCGATGACTAAAATGGCAATATAGCTAAATCGGGCCAGCGAAGCGTCGATTGTGCAATCATTACGGAGTTGTGGGTTGGGCCTAACAATAAAACCTTACCGATCGCCGATCTGCATTATTGAGTGTGCAGAGTGAGTATCTGAAGTATGCAGCCAGGTATCAATTAATGAGCATAGCTCGAAATGGGTCACACTTGTGGGACTTTGTTAGTCAGCGGCATTGGTATTGGCAAAGAGCCAATTAGTAATCAAGCGGTTAAACACTTGTTATCAGGAATCACAAAGAATTACCTTCATGAATTAAGCAATAAGGTTAATTTGATTGAAGTACATTACTTAAGACCTCACACTTGTTGTCAGAAATCACTAAAATAAATTTTAAGAATTAAACTTTAAGGCTAATTCGTTTTAAATATCTTACTTAAGACCTCACATGTACAATTCACTGCGAGTAAATACATCCCAAAAACATATTTAGGTAAAAAAAGTTCTAAACTAATTTAATTGTTTGCAAAGACTTTAAAATAACTCGGGAGACTATAAAATGACTGCTAATTAGTAATTACTTTTAAAATGGACTAATCGAGTACAGGTTCAAAAACACAATTAGTGCACAGCAACAAATAAATAAAAGGTAAATTAAATTTTTTTAAATATTTTCCATTATCAACATTCCATTATGCCTTTCCATTATATTTTTGTTAAATTCACATATCTGACGTCAAGCTCAATAAAATCATATTTCTATTTATAATAAATATACATAAATCAGATATATTACTTGTTTTCCTCTTAATACAAACCACAAACAATTCACAAACATAAACGATTGATAAAATTTTCCAGTGAATGGAAATTCATATGAATTGAAGAGCAATACTTTATGGAGCACTCACACAATGGCACCAGCCACGGGTAAACCAAACAAAAACAAACGAATTGTTTTGATTTAAACAAATCAAGTGAAATAATCTTTATTAAGATGCGGAATGATAAACAGAAATTCTTAAGAACACTGCTGCTTATATTGTTTCGTTCAAAAAGAAAATGAAATTCAGGGCTTATCAGAAGGAAAATATCACCAGCAACTATTCACGTTTATAACTTAATTTTAATTAATTTTAGACATTTCCTGTCTAATATTATACATAAAATATTAATGTTATTATTCAATTAGAATATTATGTTGAGTAATTCATTAAATTACTCATTGAACTTGGATTTTCGGGGCACAGAAGCACAATGTTTTCTAACCAAATCGGGTCCTGTTATCAGCTGGAAGCAAACGAGCACATGACATTGTTGAATATATGTAATTGAATTTCTAGCAATCAACAAGTTTTATTATGGGCACCACAAATAGTTTCACCTTTGACATCTTCACAGGTAATTTATTAGCTTACGTATTTTCTTATCTATTAAAAGATTTTCATCGTTTTTAAATGATTTTCTGAATTAAACGCACACACATCACTCATACGCCACGTTGCCGGGTAAACAAAAAATAAAGAAAAAAAGAGACAATCGAACAAGTGGAGCAACTGCATAAAATCGAACCTGCATAAAACACATCAGCAAAATAAACCAGGGCACCCGCCACACTCGCTTCCTCCTCACATGGCCCACGTCAACCGTTTGTGTCAGGTCATCAATGAAATTCTTTTGCAATTCGGAGCGCGAAATGACACTCGCCGGATTGCCATCCGAAGAAGTATCTGGCAGCAGCAGGAGCCTGACATCCTTGACGCTATTGTTATTATTTTCACTGGCACTGTTGCTCTCCAGTTGGGCAGACATAATGCGATTTGAAGTCGCCGACAACCGATGCGCGGAACGTTGAACGCGCTACTAGGCCGAGTGGGTGATTGTTCTTCCATACCGATCCATTCCATTCCAACCGAATCGCGCCGGCTGACGGATGACTAAAATCAGTACGATCAGTGCGATTCAAAAACTGAATCTTACAAAGCATGCTTTTAGGCGAGTGAGGGTTCGAGTCTTGGCTGGAAAAGCAATCTTTAGCTTAATACGAGCCTCAAATAATTGTAATCCTTTATATTAACTTACTCTTGAAATAACTGTACAAATTTGTTTTCAAGATCTTATGTTTAATACTTGCAACTGTTTTTTTTTAAGAAATTGATAATAAAGTGAAAACTATTTTAAATTTTTCCCAAATTTAAAGTGGCTTGGCAATGTTAAGATCAATTTCTTGTCTTCCTTTAACTTATTAGTTACATCATTTTAAAGAATACAAATGTTGGGCTAAATAAATAAAAATGTATCTGTTTATTATTTCTACATTTTTAAAAATATATTTAATTTTACTTAACTTACTTAAGTACTTAATATTTATTAAAAGGGTTATGGGCAATGGACAGCCAGTAGTCATTAATCAGCATTAGCATAATCAATTAAATAGTTTTGGGCAAGTGCTGCAAGCTGCAATAACACAGACACACAGCGATTCCTTCTGGAATCCATAAGTTTGTCTGCGGCCAACCGCTATGCAATTTAATATGCTAACCAACTTGTAGCTCGAATTTAATTTGGACCAGCCCCAATCCTTGGCATTTGACATTTTAAAGTGCACAGAAGTTGCAGCCATAATTCCAACACGCCAGCGACTTGTTTACACTGAAATGTGGTGAAAAGCTTTCGCTCTCTTTTTCCGCGCTGTTCCCATCTCTTTCGTTCTCCTACAGCCGTCTCTTTCACCGCTTTGCTCTTTCGGCTGGACACGTGGTGGGCGTTAATGGTGGGAGGCGAGGCGGCTGTCAACACCGAATGCTTGGTTATGAATGGCTTTTAATGAAATATTTATGTAACAAGCAATGAGGAGCACTTTTGGCTTCTGGGCGGAAGTGAAAGAGATAGCACCAATGCGAAATAGAATTGCAGAAAGAGACGGGAAGAGCACAAAAGCGTTGGAAATAATTGTTTGGCTAGTTAAGTTTGACGCAACGTTGAACTAAGATAAAGCAAACACATAAACGAGGAAACACACACTTGACACACCACACAGCCATGGAAAAATTCATAGGAATACTATCTGAACTTAACTAATGAAAGAAAAGGACAAACAAAATAATAATTATTATTTTTATATATTTTAAAATTTCAAATGTTATTTTTTGTTTTCTATTTTAAAATTTTATATAAATATGATGATTTAGGAAAACTAGAATTTTATTTCTTCAACCGCAACCATACATAACCGAATTTATCTAACTGTTTGTCATAAACTTCCCTGACTGGTTGTGTTGCCAAAAGTCATTAACAGTCAACGGCTACGGGCCACAAAAGCAGGAGATGCACCCAAAAACAACAAATTGACAAATGCGGCAAGGCCAAGGGAAAGCGGGAAAGTTGGCTAAGCCAGACACGAAACTTATCCCGGCTGATGTGTCTGATATGTCTGTGTGGTTTTATTTGTTCGCCCCCGACTTACATGCCTGCGAGTCAAAGGGAAAAGATCCCTTTCCTTTAAAGGCTTTTAAAGGCCGGTTTGAAAGCTGTGGAGTATTGTGTATAAAGGTTTCTAAAATCTTTAAAACATGTCCATAAACTTTAATTAAATATTAAAAATATTGAACAAAAGGAACGTATTTTAACATTTATTCTATAATATTTTATTAACTTTTGTAATTTACATCAAGTCTATACTGACTAACATTCTTTGTGGTGATATATTTCCTTCATTTGAAAGATTCTTTTGTAGAAATATTTTTTGCTTACAAAAATACAGCACTTGAGAACTTTTCGCCTACGAATAACTCAGCAAATGAGGAGCTTCAACACGCCAGTAAAACCCCAGGGGCCTAACATAATTTCGGTCCCTGCCCACTTGGTCGGGTTCCCCTCGAACAGGACCAAGATGTTCCACTTTAGCAGCGCCCAAATTCCAAAATGCTAAATTCCCCCCAGCCAACTAAAGGAAGCAAAAAACGTTTAGGCAAATCTGTGGGCCAAAATCTTGGGCAAACAAGCTCATTACAGGCCAGCAAAATACAGAAAAGAGAAGTAAAGCCAAAATAAGACGGGAGAAAATTGTAAGCGAGGCAACTAAGTGTGCCACATGATTGAGTGACTTGCTTCGAGCCGGAAAAAGGGGGCGTGGCAGAGACTGAAGACCATTACGGTCACAGTTTATGACCGCAATTTTATTGATACCGCCGAAGGAAGCAAATACAAAATAAAATAAAGCAACCCAAATCGGGTAAATCCGAGAAGCCCCAAGGAATCTCAACGGATTGCCGGCTATAAAGCGCAGTGGGAACATTTCTACTCGAGAGTTTGCCTGCATTGTTGGGCGCTTTTAATACGGACACCATACGGAAAAGCCTCGGATGATAAGACGCAGAGCGAGTAACGACATTCTCGAAAGGCAAATATTAACAAGCTTCGTTTCATTGGCTTAGCATGTGTCTACGATCTAGAGATGGTATAAATGTAATAAACTGGAAAAATACCATCTATCACCGGAATAATAGATCTCAAATCGATATACAACTTCTAGTAAAACCTTTAATGTTTTGTACATAATTGCAGTTTTTATTGTTTTAATTTTTCGGATTGATTGATTGAAGAATGTCGTTGCATTTTAGGAATATATTATTCAAGTTATTCATTCTTACGTCTTGAAAATAAATATAAAAATTTTATTGTGGCCAACGAGTCGAATGAGTGATTTTTGTCTAAACAGTATTATCGCTGTAATGTAGAAAATTCTCTGTATATTATGTAGCAATAGTCTCCATAACTGTATTAATAAATTTATTTAATTGACTTGTAATTTTTATTTTAAATAGAAAAACATATTAGTTCTAAAATTAGTTCTGGCTTACGAGACGTATGAGTGATTTTATACATATTGCTATATATTTTAATTTTCTAGATGGATAAATATGTGACAAATTATTTTATTGGAAGTGTCATTTTTCCAAATCGAGTAGTAAATATATTAAATGAGAATTTCTTTCTAAATTTAGGCAATTCTTTAGAGATTTGTGAAAATTATCTTTAAAGTCAAGGGGAAAAAAATCCTTCCAAAATACATAAATTAATAATCGCTGTAGTAGCGTGCCCATAACTTGTCCATCTCTAGGATACATAGAACCCTACTGTTATGCGGTCTATTGGGCGTGCATGGGCATAAGTAAGATGCGAAGGACGTTTCCAGGGAAGTCCTTCCTTCCCAACGCAGAGACCGTTTGCCAAATATGTGTGAGTGCGTGAGTGTTGGTTGGTGCGTGCCTCCGATGCAAACTCAATTATTAACTAAGAGGGCCAAAAGGCATCTAGCAGCCGGCAAACACCTTACACTTTGCCATTGCCGTCTTGTTTTAGTTATAACTGTTGTAAGTCTCTTTGCCCAAGCCGATTCCCACTTTTCCATTTCCTCACCCTCACCTCATGCTGACTACCCAACTCAGGGGAAATTTGCATTTTATCATCTCATGGTTTTCGGCCCGCTTTCCCCTCACCTTTTTGCATCCCTTGTCGCCAGTTAATTCTGCCAGGAAGGGCTTTGCTTTTAATTGGTTTTCTCGGGCGAGAAACGTCTTAGCTAGTTGGCAGCAAACGAGGGTTAAGGGCGGCGCGGAAGAGGAAATGTTGTCTCCGGTGTTGTCTTAGTTGTTAATTTAGTGTTAGGCGGCACTAACTTATAATTGTTTAATTAGCATGTAAAATACGGGGAAAATATGTGGAAATTATTAGATTCCAAGGACTGAACACAAAAGCTGGGTAAGAAAAGGAAATGGTAGCATGGGTATTTGAATACCGTGGAAATTGACATTAATATCCATGTGTGCTGATAAATGATTAATTGAATAGTTTAGTTGGTAAGTTCAGTTAGTGTTAAATTTTAAACACTCTGGTCAATATAAAATAAAAAATTGTTTTATGCCATATTAAAATAAATATAATATTGGTAATATAATGTTTTTCCCTTAATTATTTTCAGTGTTGCTTACCCAACAATATTATTAATCAATAAGTTAATAGATCAATTGTTAAAGCACTCAAAAAAATGTTTACTATTACTAAACTTTATAAAAGGGCTGAAGTGTTTGCACAATTATTTACATTTCCGTCGTTAAAATTATAGTTTTAAAAATATTTTCATATTTTTTTTTTGATTCTCCATTAACACTGATTAGTGGAAAACTTTTTATATGTAATAATATTCACAGCCCTCTTTTATTTCTCGCTCACTCATTTCTCATTGTGCACAGTTCAGTTCACATTTAATAAGCTAAAAGCATTTTAGGCTCCCCGCCGAAGATATTTATCTTAACCGTATGCACATTATCCGCTACTGCCACTGCGTATAAGCGCTTTCATTATGTGAGTACATAAGGTAAATGTTAACCCTTTAGGTTAGAAAACCGACCAGCCTGCGGGCATTACAAACAGAGAACTGAAAGGGAAAAGTTACCAAGTTACGGAGTAGAAAACAGAGGCAACAAAATGATTCAAATTATGAACTGGTTTTCAATGGTAAAAATAAATATAATATGGGTACTTCTTAAAGTTCTAATCCACCTATTTCTATTCCGTAGGTTATAGGCCTTATACCATTGAATCGCCAGCAGTCGGAAACCAATTTCATTGTCGACTACGCCATGATGTTTATTATGCCTGTCTTTTATGTGATTTGCTACCTTTTGATTAACTTGAGTCATGTTTTCGGGCTCTGCTTTCTGGACGCGTGCAACAGTGTTTGCAAATTGAGCAACCACCTCTTTATGCATTTAGGAGCCTTCTTATACCTAACAATCACCCTGATGAGTCTCTATCGTCGCAAAGAGTTCTTTCTGCAGTTCGACGAGCGATTAAATGCCATCGATGCGGTCATACAGAAGTGTCAGCGAGTGGCGGAAATGGATAAGGTGAAGGTCACCGCGGTGAAACACAGTGTGGCCTACCACTTTACCTGGCTTTTTTTGTTCTGCGTTTTCACTTTTGCCTTGTACTATGACGTCAGAGGGCTTTATCTGTAAGTAATTGTTATTAAAAAACATTGTGCTTTTTTTGAAAAATTGGAATTATTTCGAGTGCTTTAAAATCTTTGGTGCTATAATTTACGATATTTTCATTTAAACCTACGGTAACACTGAAAACTCTTATTAAAAAAATGTCATTTATATTAATGTAATTTAATTCCGAACCTTTCTTATTATTTATGGAACCCTAGTCAAATCATTATAAAATGTACATTATTTATAAGTCTTTTATTACTTATGGCAAAATCATTACAAACTTTACATTATTTTTAAATATTTTTATACCCGTTACTCGTAGAGTAAAAGGGTATATTAGATTCGTGCAAAAGTATGTAACAGGTAGAAGGAAGCGTTTCCGACCCTATAAACTATATATATTCTTGATCGGGATCACTAGCCGAGTCGATCTAGCCATGTCCGTCTGTCCGTCTGTCTGTCCGTCTGTCTGTCTGTCTGTCTGTCTGTCTGTCTGTCTGTCTGTCTGTCTGTCTGTCTGTCTGTCTGTCTGTATGAACGCTGAGATCTCGGAAACTATAAAAGCTAGAAGATTGACATTTTGCATGCAGATTCTAGGAGTTCCTACGCAGCGCAAGTTTGTTTCAAAATGGTGCCACGCCCCCTTTAACGCCCACAATCGCTTATATACGATTTTAAAAATTTCAATATTTTGGGAAAGTAAAAATGCAGTTTTATTGTGTTTATCAATACCTATCGAAATGTAGAAGAAATTTTTTAAATCGGACCATTCGTTAAAAAGTTACGGCGGATCAAAGTTTTTCTCCATCTCTTTCGCACTCCCTTTAGCTGAGTAACGGGTATCTGATAGTCGGGGCACCCGACTATAGCGTTCTCTCTTGTTTGATTATCATATCATAACAAAATTGACCCTTTTTTTTGTATTTTTGATTATTTATGGAACACTAGTCCAATCATTTAAAAATTTACCTTATGTATAAGAATTTAGCTTTAGCTTTTGCCAAATAAATTTTGCAGCTCACTAACCGCAGGCAAATTTTCCGCTTCTTTAATTTCGCGATCCAGGACCTTTGGCAACTTCGCCTTCATACCGTTCATGGTGTCCAGTTTCCCGTACTTGGCCGGCAGCATCATCCAGGGCGAGTTCATCTATCATGTGTCGGTCATTTCGCAGCGCTTCGAGCAGATTAACACGCTGTTCGAGAAGATTAACCAGGAGGCGCGCCACCGCCACGCCCCCGTCACCGTGTTCGATATCGAGAGCGAGGGCAAAAAGGAGCGGAAGACCGTAACGCCGATTACGGCCATGGACGGCAGGACGACATTTGGCAATGAGCACAAGTTGGCTGGCGAAATGAAACGTCAAGTGGGCCAACAAAAGAACGATGAGGACGAAATGGACACCAGCAATGATGAGGATGAGGACGATTTTGATTATGACAATGCCACCATTGCCGAAAATACAGGGTAAAGAAAACGATTTAGCGGCTAAGGTTTCATGCAACGAAAAAAGGTTTGATTGATGGTTACAGTCGTTTTTTGGTTGCCTTGTTTGTCGTGTTTTGATTTATGTAGAGAAGGACATTTGAATCAAGCAATGTGACAATTATTTATTTATTTATCAAACGGTTGTTCTATAAATACGCATTTAATTACTTTAAACTAAGGATACTAGTACCTAAAAGGCAACTTCATTTAATATAATTTCTGGTTATGTTTTTAAAAGTTCCATTAAATTTTTCTTTTAATTTAGAACCACTTCAGAGGCCAATCTACCAGATCTCTTTAAGCTACACGACAAAATCCTGTCGCTCAGTGTGATTACAAATGGCGAGTTTGGACCACAGTGCGTACCCTATATGGCGGCCTGTTTTGTGGTGAGCATTTTCGGGATTTTCCTGGAGACCAAGGTCAACTTTATTGTTAGCGGAAAGAGCCGCTTGCTGGATTATATGACCTATTTGTATGTGATTTGGAGCTTCACCACCATGGTAGTTGCATACATCGTACTTCGACTCTGTTGCAATGCCAATAATCACTCCAAACAGTCGGCGATGATAGTCCATGAGATCATGCAGAAGAAACCGGCCTTTATGCTGAGCAACGATCTCTTCTACAACAAAATGAAATCGTTTACACTGCAATTTCTTCACTGGGAGGGCTTCTTCCAGTTTAATGGCATCGGACTGTTTGCCCTGGACTACACATTTATTTTCTCGGTGAGCTTTTGGTACATATAAACTTAAATTCAGAGCATTCAATAATTTAATTTTCCAGACTGTGAGTGCAGCCACATCCTATTTGATTGTCTTGCTGCAATTTGACATGACTGCTATTTTGCGCAACGAGGGGCTGATGTCATAAAAGGTTCGGCCAAACTCAATTAAACAGTTTTTTTAATCGTAACTTTTTATCACAACTTTTTATTGGAAAAAAATTTGTGCCTAGAAAGCCAGCCGAAAAACACTCTTTTAATAAAGGAATAACTAAAAGGGTATTGATATAAACCAAATGAAAATATGTTTTTACAGATGTTTTATGCAGTGCTGCCATTTTGTCCTTTTTCCGGACAGATCTGTCCTTTTTTTAACGGCTTTATCCGGAAAAAATTTCAAACATCCCCTATCCGGAAATCTGTCCTTTTTTCAAAAATAAGGTTTTGAGTGTTATTTTTGCTAGTAGAAAGTGTATAAACCTGTTTTTCTGCCTTTCTAACCATCATTTTTATAGTTCTGCTCTTAAAAAATATTTTTTTTTACAAATTATTAAAGAGACGTAAAGCAGTCGATGGATTTTCTTTATGGTACGATTTTTTCTGTAGCAAAAAAAAGAGGAAAACACTTTAAAAATTTCTCAATTTTTACTCTCTGCTTTTTTGTCAGAAAAAAATTTCAACGACTCTTATTCGGGTTTGACGCAGATTAAAATTTTTTGTATTACCGATATAGTTACTTGAAATGCTTTTATTATTTTAATAATTTTAGATTATTACGTATACGCACAAAAATTTACCATGGTAAAATAATCAAACAAAGAAGGTTGTGAGTCGGGAGCAGTAGATCATTACATAATTGAATTTTATTTAAAATCCATTTATACTAAGTAAATATATAACCCATTGGTAAAAACAGAAAAATGGAGGCGCATTTACTTTTGTCCTTTTTTTTGTCCTTTTTTTTAATTTTTTTGTCCTTTTTTTCCCTGTTTTTTGTGGCTTATCTGTCCTATAAGCGATGGCAGCACTGGTTTTATGTAAACTTATTATAATTGTTACTTACTTACACAATTTTTCAATTTAATTATCAAAAAAATAAAACAAAAATAAATTAAATAAATTGTGCTTTGAAAAATTTAAATACTTGTTTTCTTGTGTCAATAATATTTTTAAATTATCAAGAATACCCAAAGACATCGCTAACATTTTTCAAAAATAAATCTATCTCCAATGTAATTATACGGACACCTCACAAATTTTCAGCCCATTTCCGACGTTTATCCGCCAAATGGTACCTCATAAATCACTCATCCGAGGACTGCTTCTGAGAGTAACCAAAACGAAATGCTGAAAAAATCCACAGGGGGAACGATGGCTTCTGTTGAGCCCCGCGATAATCGCATCAGCCAACACTCTGGGCTCTGGGCTCGTCATGAAGGATGCGAAGAGAGGAGCGCAGGTCGGCACTAGAGGTTACTAACGCAATTTCTATCAAATGTCAATTGAAAACCCGATTTGCCAGTCATCAGTCAGGGCCTCTTTTCCGCACTCCGTCCACAGTTTGCGGCCATCGAACGGAAGCCAGAAGCTGGGGAAAGAGGGATATCGGGGACGAGGAAGGATGCTCGGCGGGTGAAAAAAGAACATGAAGCAATTTCCGCTTTCAATCACGTTTAGTGCAGCGGAAATGTGTGCAGAAATATGTTTCTTCTCCCCTTTTTGTATGCAAATTTTTCAACCGGAATGAGGTTAGATTGTAAATTGCATTTCACGAAAAAGAGGGAAAATCGGTAGCCGTATGGTGTCAGAAAAGCTTAATTAATTGCACATCATATGCAAAGAGTATACAATTTAATTGATTTTTTTGTCACACTTTCCCTCTCTTTTTGTTACACATTTTTCGAGCCAGACATATAGCGCATCTCACATTACACACTTAATCAATGCACTGAAACTATTCGGTGCGCACTTTATTTTATACTTAAAAATATTGAAAACTTATAAAATTAGTCGCAAAATGCAAATAAAATTACAAATATTTATCAAAAAATCGTAAGTGAAGTTATTAAACTTAAAACATATAATTTGGAAGCTAAGTAATGAACATTACTATTCCACTAAAATCGTCAGGAGCAATATTTTTATTTTATCACCACTAAGGAAAAGCAAAAGGGTTAACCGATAATTATACATGATATTTTAATCTGTGATAGATATTTTCTAAATATACTAAATGCATATTCTCTAAGTGCTTGGTTTCAATGACTACTGGAACACATCCTGAACACGTAAATCAATATGTGGCTCGATTGGCTCGTTTGTACACGAACCCTCCATGAAGGAGAAATAAATAAAGAGCCACAGGGACCTGGGGAGACAGGGGATGAAATGTGGTTGTCCTGGTCAGTGAAATGACAGGAACAGGAGCAACAGGCAACACACATATTACCTGCAAATTACGTCAACTGTTGCTGGGAGCAGGGATAGATCCACAGACAGGGGGCGGTCATGAGGGTTAGGATAAAACAGTTCGGATCCAAAATAGGTTAAAGTCGAAATGGTCATCTTTTCAACGGAATAAACGAGGACGTAATGAAAGTACACTTTAAAAAGGTCAAGCTAATTTATTTTTATACCCTTGCAGAGGGTATTATGATTTCAGTCAGAAGTTTGCAACGCAGTGAAGGAGACGTTTCCGACCCCATAAAGTATATATATTCTTGATCAGCATCACTAGACGAGTCGATCTAGCCATGTCCGTCTGTCCGTCCGTCTGTCCGTCTGTCCGTCCGTTTCTACGCAAACTAGTCTCTCAGTTTTCAAGCTATCGGGATACAACTTTCCCAAAAGTCTTCTTTCTATTGCAGGTAGTATATAAGTCGGAACGAGCCGGATCGGACAACTATATCATATAGCTCTCATAGGAACAATCGGGAAAAAATATTTAAAAAAATTATATTTTGGGTGTTTTTGAAACTATAACATTCTACTTTTGGAAATGTCATTTTTTATCTAATTCTGAATTTCGAATAAAATTTTTTTTTAAATCGGACGACTATATCATATAGCTGCCATAGGAACGATCGGAAAATTAATGGGAATATAATAGGAAATAAATTATTGCTTCGTTGATTTTTATTGTATTCTCTTCTACTCTAGGATATAACTCTTTTTAAATATTTTCGAATTTCGATTTTAATTTTATCAAAATCGAACTACTATATCATATAGCTGCCATTGAAAAGAACGCAAAATTAATGAGAAATAATAGGAAAATTAACATTTTTGCGATTTGTAAATTAAAAGGAATTATCTGCAAGGGTATATAAGCTTCGGCTGGCCGAAGCTAGCTTCCTTTCTTGTTCTACACAATTTAGGATCAAAATAAAATCAAATAAAATACAGATTATTTCTAGTCACCGCAAAAATGTAATTGAATTATAATAAAATATAATTCAATAATTAAACACATTTTTTAACTGGGCTTACATTTGTAACTTCTGCTGCTGTTAACTTCTTAAATTAAAAGACTTAAAAAAAATTAAAATATTCTTTGATTTTAATTTAAGATTTTTTTTCAGTGAAGCTCACCATGAGCCACGTGACCCCCTGCAAGGCAATGTGAAATGTCAGAGCACTTTTAAGACTTCATTTAGACAGTATCCTGAAACGCTTAATGCAGTGGCTGTGCATGGAAAATACGGGGGCAGAAAAAAAAGGAAACACAAGTGGACAAATGCCAACAGGTTGTTGCTGTTGTTTGAGTAATTGAGGCTAAAAATGTAATGGTTTTTCGAGGGAAAGAGTTCAATGAGTCCAACATAAAAGCGAGTTGAATGAATGCGTAACTTATTTATGGCTCATTTGTTGCTTACACATTTTCTTGGTTTAATTCATAAGTGGATTACATTGAATGGGAAATTCAAATGCAGAAAAATGATGGGTAAGCTATTTTTAGCATTTAACCAGAAAAATATGACTTCTTTTGCTTGAGGAATATGTATTAATTATGTAGTCGGACGTTGAGAAATTAGATTTATCCAATCTTATGATATAATATAATAATGACAGAGCTGTCTAATATTTGTATAAGTGAACCGAAATTTGTTCTCTTCCTAGATCCTAGATCCGCCACTGACTTAAAGCCATAACAAAGTTTACAAATTTAAACTTATAAACTTTTTTTAAAGTAATTTAATGTATTAATCATTTAAAGAAGTATGTAATATTTAAAACTAAGGATGTAAATTGATGTATGCAAATTTGTGTTATTAGGGTGACAACACTGACACATCCAAAAGCTTTCACACTACAGGTGTCACGCCAGAGAGAGCGAGATGGCGACTAAAAGAGAGCAAAAGAGAGCGAGCCGAGCGACAAGTGTGGTGAATTTCGGAACATCCTTGAGAACGCAGTCACCCTTGGCCAAGCAAAGCCAAATTGTGCGAGGCTAGGACTTCTGGGCGAAATCAAATCAAACTGATAACATACGATGGAAAGAGAGGGGGAAAGAGACAGGGACAGCAGACTCACGAGAGAGCGGAAAAGCACGAGCCCGAGTTGAACTTTTCCTTCAGCAGGAGCCACGGATAACGGGACAGTTCGTGGCGGAGTTTCAAGTGTGTCGGTTGTGCCATAGCGGAATAACGGTACATTCATTCTTCAAAGAGAGGAGCCTGTGTGTGCGATTGTGAGTGTGTGGGTGTCTTATCCTCAGTGGCCCGTGTTGTTGTAAAGAAAACGAAAGTTTTATGCGGTTAACTTTAAAAACTAATCTTTAAATAACTTTAAAAGAAAACGTACAAAAATAATTCATTATATTTAACACTACAATTAATTCAAAAAGGCTTTGTAAAAACACGTATCACTGCTAAGTTATGAGTTACCCATGTTAGAAAATTAATTTCCACTCCAAAGTAATTGAAATTAAAAACAATCTAATCAAAAGGAAAAAAATATGTTTTGATGCGAAGTCTGTTGAATAATCAAGCAGAGCAGAATGCGCAGTTTGGCGCCGCGTGGGCGTCTGCCCAAAAATACAAGAAGTAAAACGGAGAACAAGGCAGAAAAAAATAAGAAATACATAAATCCTACCTAGGCGAAAACGGCGTGTCTGCCTCTGACTTTTATTTACAGGTTGTTTTTGGAGCTCTTCAGCAAACGCGAAAAATTAGCAAGCCTTGCATTAAAGTCTGAAATCGTATGTAGGCGAAAATAAAACAAAGCATTTTATTTAATTTTATAATTGTGTTTTACGAAAACGGAGTAACTTCTGAAATTTTTCAAGGAAAATTAAGGAAATAAGGTATTCTTACAATTACAACAACAAATTTTAAATTGTTTACAGTTTTACAATATTTTTTACAAAGGTTCTCAGTTTTTATTTTTTTTTGTGAAAAATACTGTTTATTCTTTTTCCGAAAACTATGTTTTTTTTAAATATATTATTACAGTGACTAATTACATAACTTGGGTAATATTTGTATTAATGTTTGAAAAAATAAGAAATAATATAAGAGATGTAAGAGTTCGCTCTATATACAAATCTCTAGAAAGTTTTAAAGTTCTTAAAAACAGGAAACATCAACTTATTTTTTTTTTTAAAATAAGTTTTTTGTTAAGAACAACTTTTTGGTTACGTTGAATACTGATCCTAATCTTAGAATCCTAATTGTTTTCCAGCCCATATCAGTCATGGGCTGGAAATTTAATTTTCATTTAAATTATTAGAAATTATAGTCAACTACAAATTTAACATGCGCACAAGAAAGCGGACCTTAGTAGATTTCCCTTTAAAAGGCAACTAATTGAATATTTTATTTTCAGAGTCATTTTCATTTTTTGTTGTTTACTTTTAATTAGTTAGGTTTAGTTTTGCCTTCACCGCTTCAGAAGTCCTTGCAACATTTCCTTTTTCCAACTACAGCATTTTAAGAGCATTCAGCCTTCTGCATGCCTAAGAAAAGACAACTTTCTACTGTGTTCTCCAGCATTTCTCCGTCTTCTTCTTCTCGTCTCGCTTTCACTTGGTCATGAAAATCAAAGTCCCCCGTGTGCCTTGTCAATGTATTGGCCACATCTGTGTGAATTGCCACTGTGTGGGTGCCTACTCACACACACATATTATAGGGGTGTTTGTTGTGGGGGCGTGAAAAGTTTGTCTTCCTGTTTGAGTTGCGTATTTGGGCGCCATTTCAGCATTCCTCTTTTTATTTACTACAAATTGCTTTGCATTTTTGTTCCATTTCTTCTTCTCCATTTTATTTTGTATTTTTTTTTGTATTATTGCGTTTAATGCGCCGTTGGCAATTTGTTGGATATAAAAATTACACAACACCCCCCCATCACCGGAGCAATGAAATATTGTAATTAACTTTGCTGCCAACGGGCAAACCAATGGAAATTTCCGACCCTAATGAGGCGGCAACAGGTTCCTCGGCAGCTTCAATTAAGTTTTTAATAAGCGACAGTTCACGGCTAATAAATATTCATAAATCTATATCAACTCAGCTGTTGGCAATTTCAAAAGTACTAACTACGAAATAAAATCCTCTCGCGCTTTGCCGCTGGCAAATTTTGAGTGTATTTAAAAGTTTTTTTTTCGCTCCTTTAGAAAGTTTTTTGTACCAACTTTTCTCCGTTGTCCTTGTCGGCTGCACGAAACTTTTAGTTCCATTCATTATTAACGATAATGTGTGCTCGGCTCCGCAGATGCTTAGTTAGAAAATGCCACTGGCATAAAGAAGGCAATTAATTGCAAACTACCAAGTTAAGTGCAGGAATGTAATATTTCACACAGGAATTTTGGGCAATTGGTCACTTCTAAATATGAATACGTGAATGGAATAGCTTGATCAAGATTCCTGAGAAGGAAAATAGTATAACTTGTCATCCGAACATAGAAAACCGGAAGTTTAAATATATTAAGAGTCTAAGGGCCGTTTTCTCATGCGTATGTATAATTTAAAGTAGGTATAAAACTTAAAAACTTTTAGAAATTGAGGGCTTAAAATCCACTTTCAATTTAACATGCAGACGAGAAAACGGCACTAAATTAGTTAAATATTTTACAGAGAATTTTTATTTTTAAGCTTGGAAAATTTCAAAAATAACATCTTACCCTCAATTTTTCTTATGCAAACCTGAATTAAGTCTTGGAAGTTTGAAACTTTAATTCCACAAACAATAAAATCAACAAATATTTTTTACACTTCCATGAGTATTAAGCCAATAATAAACTGAGAACAAATTACGCATAAACTGAACGAGCAAACAAGGCATAAATTGAAATAAAGCCAATTCCGACAACAACGAGCCAAGTCTACGCCCACACACATTTGAAAAGGCTGACAATGGCAAAAGCCGTTTCTAAAATTTATTTAAATATTTCTATACACATTGAAGTAAACAGCTCCGCACCAAATTGAATAAAGCCAGACAATAAAAGAAACGTTAAAGTGGAAGGAGATGATGAAGTGAAAATATAAAAAATCCCTGATAACTAATACAAACAAAAGAAAGAAATACAAACGATACGATAAAATAAAAAGGAAAGAAGGAGGAAAGCATCCAAGTCTTTGACTTTGAAGAAGGCAATTAAAAGTCAGAGTCATGAATTGAGCTTCGAGTAAAGGAGGTAAGCTATTGGAATTAAGAAAAGTGAAGAGTTTATATCCGAGTTTTATACCAGCCATAAAACAAAGGTTTTTTATATTTAAAAAAAAATGTAGTTAGTTTATTATTACTAATTTAAATCAATATAATGCGCCTCAAATATTCGGTCCATGTATGTTTACATTAAAAAATTAATTTATACTCATTCAAGGTTTTTGAGCGCCCACAACCTTTTCACATATTCAGAAAACATACACAACTAACCCAATTTTCATAATACATTCAACAACATCCCAGCCAGCATCCCCGAAGTGCGGCATAGATATTCCATTTCATCAAATGTATTAGCAAAATAAGAGCCACAGCAACCCCTCAGGAGATTTAAATTTAGCCCAGGCCTCCGTGTACCTAAGTATATATGTATATACATTTTATATGGAGTGTATGCCAAATTATTGTACATAATTGAATCAGTTAAATTATTTACTTGATGAGTTTTTGGGGTTGCAGAAGGAGGGACCTTTTAATCGCTGCTTGGCTGCTTAAAGTCCGCAAAGTGTAATAAAATTAAATGGCTTTAAGGCTTAGACTCGGCTGGCGACTGAAAAGTATGCTACAAATTCTCGACATAAATATGGATGTATCTCAGCGGACTTGTGTGTGTCTATATGCGTTTGCCTGTTCGTTCACCTTCTTTTCTCACTTGAGACCAAAAATAAAAAATGATTAAACGACGACCCGTGTCTACTAGGTAAATATTCAGGGCTCTGACCCTGGAGAAGCCATTGAACCAGCAGTCTCAATTTCCAGTACAACTTTGCATACTTACGATCTGCATAATCACTTCTACCATGCATACAAAGTGATTTCAAGTTTAATGCCTCCTGCATTGTTAGCCACAACCAGAAGTGTGAAAGAAGATTAAATAATTCAAATTTAATTGCAAAATCTAATAAACTCATTTTGGTAAAACTATAATTTACCAATGGAAAACATAACATAATTGCATTAAATCTGTTTTGCCTGACAGCAAATATGAACAAATAAGTAGATAAAATCAATAGACAAAGTTTGGTCCAAAGTACTCTGTAACAAAATGTGGAAAGTGGCTGCTTTAATTGGCAAATGATTATTTTAATGAAAGTTAGCAATTTGATTATAAGTATAAATTGGCTGGAAATCTAGGAGCCAACGGACAAGCGTTGTTTAATTGTGGTTGTTTAATAATAGTATTAACTAAAATCTAATTATCCAATTTAAACTAACATGGATAGCTGGCATTATTTAAATTTTTTATCATTTTATTTTCTTACTTGGTTTAATTTCCCACTAAATGAATTTGCATATTCAAAGTCATGATGAAAAATTAAATATCTTCCAAAGTCACTGTGGCTCGTTTATTGCTGCCAAGACAATCGCAGCCCTTTCATTTGTTATAATTAAACAAAGCCTTGTTTGCCTGGATTAAGTATATTGCTGCCTGCATTCGCTTTTCCACATCAATCATGGCACTCGAAGTCTGACGATAATGCCCTACCAGCAACTGGAAAAAAAGAAAAAAAATATGTATGTATATATGGGGAGTCAGGGAAATAATAGACCTGACATAAGCCTCATATGTATGCGCACTTCTGGGCGTGAGTGTGTGAGCATTTGAGCTGCTAGTCTGCTTATGTTCTTAAAGCTTATTAGCTGCTTATTCATTTCCCGGCTGAGTTTTCTCCGATGGTAAGTATACTCATGAGTACAAAAAAACAACGAAATATATGAAGAAGCCACGTGGTTTCGCCAGACAGTGACAATAAATATTAATGACCAACGGAATTAATAGATATTTAAACAAATGTAACTCTCTGATGGTGCCATGAAATTGGTATTAAATCGTCAAAACCAGAAGCCCTCAACAGGAACCCTCTAATTCCATTCAGAAGGACTTGTATTAGCTTGCTTTATTATGTGTTGATTGTTTTCGCCTAACACAAAGAGTCATTACAATATTATTGACCTGCCACGGCCCACAATAAAAATAAAACAATAATGTTAATGGTTAAGTTATTTTTCAATTAACTGTTTACATATTCATTGTGACACAATCGCCAATAATATGGAAACGTGCTAAAAGTTATTATAAATACCATTGGCGAGAAGCGATAATATTAAATAAATTTATTTAATTACCTGAAAATGAAAATTATGAAAAAGTTTAAATTAATTCAGCAATTAGCTATAGAAGGTATTCCAAAAAAACAATCTTAAACAAGCTGAAAAACGGGAAAAAAGCCACTGCTAATGAATAATCCGCACTGCCCTCAATCCGAACTTTTCTCATTACTCAAATCTATATGTACTATATAAATCTGCATAAAATTCCCTACACAGGGAAAAGAACTAAATACCGACAAAGTGAACAAAAATGGTTTGTCTAAAGGCAAGGGAAAGGGAAAGAGGCGTGGCATCCAGGAGGGCGTGCATTTTTGTAAACTGTTTGGGCAGATTCATTTGCATCTCCCAGTGGGCGTCCATGGGCGTGGCCCCAAAAGTCAAACGCCAAAGAGTTGCCTTCAAACAGAAACAAATTTGCGCTTCCATTTTAATTTTGCTCGCTTTCAACCCAGTGACGCTGGTAAATCCTTTAAAAGTGCCAAGAAACTGTTGCAAACAAGCCGAGCTTCTGTCTCTAAGGCAGCTTCTGCACTTAATGGTCGCAAAAGTGCGAAAAAGTGGGGAAAGTGAAGACCAAGGTTGTGTGGGTCGAGACCTGAATCAGGAAATGGGCGTATTAGGTATACCTTTTTTTGGATGATGAATTTTAAAATGAATAATATTTTCCTTCGATGATATAAGGTATTAAAGGAGATGGGTGTCTAACCAGTCGTATACGTAATTTTTTTTGATCCCCTTTATATTAAATTAACAAAACTATATTTTAATATTTTTTTAGGATTCTTTGGTACTTAAAATATAATTATACCCCTATAAAAATAAATTGAACACAAAAAAAAATTGATTTATCACCACTATTATTTTCAAAAACTTTTCGTAACCACAAGACCATAAAATACATAGAAAGAACGGCGACTGCACTTGAGTGATGGCCCTGCAGCATTTGAAGTGCCATCAAGTTGAGTCATAATGTTTTATAACCACATGCTCGCAAAGCAGCAAAAGCACAATTAACCACAATTTTGTTGCCTGTAATTTTATAGCACTTGTTCGACATTTAATTACGCTAATTTATATGCAAACTGCAATTGACACAGCGACAGGGACGATGGCGACACTAAAGCTGTCGTCTAACGAGGTCCCTTTCATCCTTTTGTATCTCAATCTGCATATGTGTCGCCCTTTGGTGGCTCATTTTTACATATCTAGACTTTTGCAATTTGTTTATTTAATCTTTCGAATTTTGTTTTACAAGAGAATTGCAAATTTTCTAGGTTTAGGTTTCAGATATTTTTTCTGAATTTATTCTTTGCCAAACCCCATTGGGGAATGAGCAGATTTTAAGTGGTCAGTAATAAACGTAAGCTCTTGAACAATAAACATTCAGTTCATGAAAATTTTTTATGACTTTTGTATAACTTGCATATTCAAACTACTTATTAGGTATTTAATATTTACAAAATTTATCAAATAACTCATAATTTAATCTAGATAGTTAATAAAAGGAAATAAATTCTTTCTGCATATAAAAATGTAGGTGAATTTATCTAGGAAGTATAATAGATGTTTGCACTCCTCTTCTTTGAAGCTCGAGAGTGGAATTAAAATAGTTTTCGTGTGTGCCGTAAAACGAGAATATTTTAGAAACATTTTTTAGTATTTTTACATCGGCTTACCCAGCTTTGGTGGCTCCTGCTCCTTTTGCCCTCGAAAAGTGTACTATATACAATATTTATGCCGTAAGGGCAATGCAATGTCAAAACCTCCTTTCCGCCCAGCGCCTCCAGCTTCCTGGGCTAAAGACATCAAACGCAGCTGCTGCTCCTGAATTCTCCGCTATTTCAGCTGCCCTCACTAAGTCTTTTTTAGTACGGCACCGACTTCCACTTTTTTCGCATTCCTTCCGCCAGTTTCAAGTTGTGTTCTTCAGCGCATTTTTCCACATGACATGCGTTTAAAAGGGCCGAGCTGGGGAAAAAAAGAGGAAAAACAATAAAGACCGAGTAAAACGAGCAGAGACAAAATTTGTCAACATGTTTGTGAGTTTCTTTTTCATTTTTCCACTTTTCTTTGACACCACTGTTGCTGTTTCTTATATTAATATTGGTCATTTGACTTTTAGTCTTACTGTTGCTGTTGTCAATTTAGCTGGTTTTTTCGCATTTCTCTATTGCCGAAACTTGTTGGTAGTATTATTGGGTTTTTCCTTGTGTTCATGAGTTCATTCTAAGGACTTGTCTTTTTGTATTTATGAACCTTCAGTTCTGGATAGAATATCTGGAATTTCATTGAGAGGAAGTAGCTTAATAAACAATATTTTCAACTAGATTGAATAAAATTATATTTTGAATTGAGATTATTTTTAATAGAAAAGCTTTTAATATTTTTGTTTTCATCTTGGTTACCACAAATATTTGTGCCACAATTAAAGGCCTTTTGTATTTAACTAATTATGAACTTAAAATTTTTCAAATTTCTTGGACTGCATTTTTACTCAAGGTTACTATTCACCAGAATATATTTTATTATTTTTATTTGTAGAGATAACTTTAGTGCATCTGTTTCTTGGGTTGCCATTAGTGTCAGTGGCAATATGGCTGTTCCAGCTGTTACCACCGCTATCTCTCTTGATGTCATTGCAGTTTCAACGAAACTTTCTGTCGCCTTTCGACTTTGCTGACTTTGCTCCTTAAAGGCCAGAGGAAAAAACACTTGCACCTGTCCAAAGTTGCAGACATGAAAGTAAACTTTTATTTATGGAAATGGGTTAAATTACTTCCTCGTTGAGGGGAAAAAGCAAACAAACTTTGAGCTCTTTAGCTCCTCGGCCAGTGGCTTTATTTGGGGACCCATACCCATGGAGGCTGCCTTTCATCGCATAAACTATATCTATGCCTTCTGGGACCTTTTCATAAGCACGTTTTTATCTGCTTTACACATTTGTGCGTCTCTCGAAATGGGAACAGTTCGCTTGGGGGAGGGTCAAGCGGAGGTCCTTTAAGCCCCATTTAGGGTTCGCCCGCAAAAGCTTCTTTCATTCAGTCCACACCCAGTCCACCCAGCAATTGTGCGTTTTAGCCACATTCTGCTGATTTTGTCAGTTTTCTCTGTCATTGATTTTCGATCATAATAATTTCATGTGCTTTATGTGCCGGAAAGTGCCCGCTAAAAAGGACGACAACCATCTGCCAATCCATTGCAATGCATTTATCCTGCTCATATGCGATGATTTCAGCTCTGCAATGATTTCATTTTTATGATTTTTTGTTTGCCCTCTCCTTTCCGCTTCCCGTCTATTCCCAAGGCAATTCTTCAGCTTATTGTGTGTTTTCTTTTTATGACTTTATAATGTGGCTATTATATATCTTTCTACATATGGGTGGTGCTGATTTGGTAAATGGCATTTTTGTTAAGAACTTAAGTTGTCAGGGGCGAGAATTTTTTCGCAGAAAATCTAGCATACAATACAAGTTCAAATGAAATATAGAAAAATCATTCGACAGTTGTATTAGAAGTTTCAGATTTTTCTGAAAAGTATTTTGTGCAAAATGGTTAATTTCTTGTTTTATTTATTTAAAAAAGGAGATTTTAAATCGATTTTCTCAAAAAGTAAGTGTTAAGCTAATTCTGTATTTTTTATACAATTTATTAGATTGTCTAAATAAGCCAAATACATGTTTTATAAGCCCCTCAGGCGAAACGGGTACTGATAAACCTAATCTGCGAACCAATTTCCGCAACCCAATTTGTGGGCACACACAAAAGGGAAAGTTGATCCATGTCGAATCAAATGTTCAATCGAGTCCCGAGCATTATGCAAAACACATGACAGCTTAAGGAATCCCAGGGACAACAACTAAAACAGCCAACTGACAACTTCACTTATTCCAGTTGAGTTGTGACGTTCTGACCGCAGGCGGTTGGCCAGTGAAGGCAAGGCAAAGGAATAGAAAGGAAAGCCGTCCAGAGAAGCCAGTGAAAAGGCGTTGAAACGTTTCATTTACTTCAACGTCTGTCGACACTCGGACCGAAACGAAAATGGGCTGGTCCAAAAAAATAAACCGCAGGCAAATCAAAGGCAGAAGGAAACCTCATTAAATTAATGCAAGCCTCAGGAGTTTTTCTCCGTCCAAAAAAAACGCCCTGCTGTGAACTTGGCTAATTCATGGGAAAAGCGTGTTTAGCGGTTAGTGGAAAATTGTCCCAAAGATTTGAAATGTTTGATAAGCGAGGCCGAAATGATTGGCAGAACCCCTCAAGAACCAAAGTCAGCATAAGCCACAGGCTTAGTTTTAAGAGTACGGGGAGCATTGAAACATTTTGTTAGATTGTATACATATTATAGCTTGCAAAGTGGATACGAAGTTTCACTTCAGATGAAATGCCAATGAAAGGTATGATTTCTTTACATGCTTACAAAAATTAGTTAAAACGTTAAATAAATATTTATCAAATGAACATAAAAGAATGTTTGTCATTTTTACCATTATTAAAAGCTCAGGTCGCCATAAAAAAATATCTATTCAAGGATTCACCAAAATTATACATTTAATTATAATTTCATATTATTTAAAAAAACCCTTTAAAATCAATCTTTCAAAACCAATCCTTCCAAAAAGTCCATAAAACAGGCCAACTAAGAAAAAAGTTTAGGCATGAAATCAAAAAAGGTATGCATAAAATCAAAAATAAAAAATTTTGGAAACCACAACAAGCCGAAGTGCAAAAAAAAACTAATAATAAAACTTTTAAAACGAACATTGTCACCAAACTGCATGTGTGTTCACACTTCCCAACAAAGTTCGGCCAAAATTATAATTTTTAAAAAAGTTTAAATGGTTTGTTTTTGTTTGTATATGAATCAAAACTTTGATTCAAAAGTAATTTATTACCCTTTCTAAAAATCGTTTCAGAAATTTGACTTAAAACTAGGGTTTTGCTCACAAGTGTATTTTTATTCATAAATTTTTCTCATATGCCCGGCACAGATTTAGAGGGACTTTCCTTTTTTGTGTCCCTGTTCATGTTTATTTTAGCCTGCAAATAAAAAGGATAAAGAACAACTGGCAGCCATGTTCAACAGCATTTCCGCTTACAAGTCTCTTTTTTTCGGTTTGAGCTGACTTGTGTATGTGTGCTATTCTGTGGATGGGAAGTGTGCTCTGAACCCTTTCGCAGGACTTGGCTACGGGATCCTGATGCCACAGCCAGTCAAAAGCTATCCACTCAATCCTTTGCATATTGCTCATATTTCTTCGGCATCGCCGCCTGTCTGGAGCTTTTAACCATGTGTATGTTCTTTTTTCCCTGGCTCGCTGCTTAGTCATGCTTATAAAACGCGAAAAACGCGACCAACGATGAAGAAGGGGGTTTTTTCCCAACTGTAAACAATAAATATAAACATGGAGCGCTGTGGGCGGAATCATAATAATCCCATCCCACCATCATCATCGTCATAATCCACATGCTGTCGTCAGTCAAGTTCAAATGGCTGGCAAATTTTTTTATAAACATTTACCATATACCAACAAATGGCTAATGCATATAGGGTTGGGGGTTAAGAGGTGGTTACAGCTTTAGAAAGTGGATACGTCGCGATGGAAGGGGCAAACATGGGAGCAGTTTTCCACAATAAAAGGTATCTTTTAAAATTGCTAAAACTTTTATCAGCTTTTAATGTGTATTTTCGGAAAAGGAAGTTATCTTATATCAGATTGTCAATCACTGATGACACTTGTCCAATTTCTTAATCCCAGCCCTATTATCTGTCGTCAGTTTCACTTTCGCTTTCGGCACATGCAAAAATTATTAAGCCAACACATAAATAAATTGTTGAAATATTTATTTATGGCCATGCCAGGTGTAAACAAAACCGAAAAGAACTCGAGAAAGTCAGCAAGTGGAGAAAGAGATGTCAGGAAAGTAAGTGCATGGACAGATAGCGATTTACTCACCTGAAACGCCCACAGCTTGGGTCTGAATGAAACCAACTCGTAAATAAATACTAAAGACATAAATAAAATAGGGGCGAGAGGGTGGAAAACACTTCCACAACCGACCCATTTCCACCTCGCCAAAGTGAAAGCGAGCGAAATGTAAATATCAAATAAAGAGCGTAGAAAACGAGGGAAATGCTACACATCTTTTGCATTTGAGTTGAGAGCTATGGAAGTAAGTTTTGGACTTAAGTTTCAGACCACTTCGGACTGCAAATGTTCCGATCGAAGGGGGTTGTCATAAAAATGGCTTTTCCGCCCCGAAAGAGGTAGCTCCCCACATCCTTCAATATCACCACCACTCTCGTCGCCTTATTTGCAGTGCTTTCAAACACAGAAAAATGACAGCCATTTGTAAGAAAGTATAATAATGGCCTGTCTGGAAAAAATATATATATCCATATGTATGTGCGGTCATAAAGTTCCTATCGATTGAAGTTGGTTCTCTGTTATTTTTTGTCCAGCTTACGCGTAATGGCTGCAATGATATGGGAAAGAGCTTTAAATTTTAAAGTTTCGGATATACGAGTACGATTTAGTTGTAAGGTCAAAAATTAAAGTAATATAAGTTATTTTTAAAGCTTAATTTAATTACTTTTATTTATTATTATGAAGTCTTAACCGTTTGATCGACTATTCCGCAGGATTCCTACAAATTGATTAAAAATACATTAACAATAATTGAATAAAAATGCAACAAATACTACAAATAAATAAATAAAATTACAAAAATTTTTTGCATTACCTTTAAATTAAGTAAAATAAATTTTTAAGGGACTTAAACTCAGGGAAACGTTTTACCAATATATAAAAAATTCAACCGGTGTAATTATATTTAACAACCGTACTAAAAAGCGTTCCAGATGAAAAGACTCATAAATAAAAAAGCTTAATATATCCATTTTTGCATGTCAGGGCCTAAAATTTATTTTAATAGCCGTCATTGTCCCCCACTAATCTGCGTTCTGTGTTCTTCTCATGCAGTTGCAAATGCGAAAACAACAATGAGATGCTGGCACAATGCGGTGAGGCGCAAGAAGAAGAAGCTGGCGGCGGCGGCGGCAGCGAGAAAAGGATCAGGTGGGGCGGGAGGCGTGGCAGGGCCTCCAGATGGAGATGGCATCTGCCAGGGGCAGCAACAAGTGGCCAGCGACACTTGGCTAACAACGCGGTCTGTCCCCCTTTTGTGGCTGCACTTGTTGCTCTTGGTCGCATTTGCAAAAGACGCGGCAGCAGCAACAACTGCCACAAATCCCGAGGCCACCACAACAACATTAAACAACTATACGACGACAACTTTATCCGCATCCACATCCACGGCAACCACTTCATCAGCATCAGCAGCCGGGGATAAATTCTCAGGCAACTGGGCCATTTTGGAGGACTCATTTAAAAACACCGTTCGAATTGGAGATGGCAACACGGTCACGCGGGTAAGCCATAAGTAATAAACGCATTTTAAACTGGAAAGATATACTTTATCGAAAGTCCCATCGTTAAAGTCAAAACAAAGCTCAATAAGAAATACCAAATGGATACAAAATTACACATTTTAAAATAAAATTTTTGATCAAAAAAATAAACCCTAAAAAAAATAAAGCTCATGATAATACTTAATTTTTTTTATTTATTTTATTTTTCAAACACTATCGTATATTTATAACATTTTATTTGGTGTAGATTTGTATAATTACGTTATAATGGCGTAGCTAGGACTTAGATAAGGGGTTTTAAGAAAAAAATTTGTGTAGCATACTCTTGAAAAGCAGAGGATTTCACCCCCAAAATCCCTTCCCCCTGACTACACCAACTCTTTATAGCAATCAAATTATTTATACATTTTTTTTTGTTTCAAATTTTAAAAAACAACCCTAATAACACAAATCACCTATAAAAATTAGATTTTCACAATTACATTCCACCATTTACACATAAAGAAAGGTGTACTCACAGATGGCAGGCACTCTATGTTGCCTAGTGTTAACCCCATTTAAGCTGCAATTACACAGGAGTGCAATTGAAATAATGAGAATAAGTGTAGCTCAAAAGCGGGGAAGGGGGACTTTAACCCAAACGGTGCGTTCTGCGCCTTAGGGCACTTGGCTGAATTTAATTGAATTGCGATTGCAGACGCGAGTCCACTTGAAATTCTCTATTCCATTCCAAAATTATCAAAGTGGCTATTTAGTGTGCACTTATAATGCTTAATGAGGAATGAAAGGAGCTGTCAAATACAGTCCGTTTAGGTAAATATAACAGGGATACAGTCTTGACATATTCTTATTTGCTTACGCAATATTAATAAATAAAAAAATATTATAATATTTAGACAAAAAATCAATAATTATAATATTAATTAAAATATGCTAGTTATGCCCACAGAAACATTTAATTTTACCTACGCTCTTATATTTAAGTACCGCACTTTCCCAAACAAGATTAGCGTATTTTACTGAGGTTTATGTACACATAATGAGCCAAGTTAATTAGGTTAAATGGTTAGTGGTTAAGCGGAGCGAATTCTGGTGTAGATATTTGTGTAGGAAAGTTTCCTTGGGGAAAACTTGAATGCACCTCAACTTCCGAGTTCGCTTTGCATATCTCTTTACGAAAACTTTATTGTTCTGGTTTGTCAAACAATAGTCAAAACACTTGCTAAACAATACATGCTTCAACTGAAAATTCTTAGAAAAGTTGTCAATTCAATTTCGTTCTCTTGTCCTTAGCAATTTAAAGTCAAAACAAAGCAAACTTTTTTGCAGCCTAGGACGGAAAATTAAAGAAAAAAAAGAAAAGCCAATAACGTAATTTTCCACTCAAACGATAAAAGGGTCTAAAATATGACGATATAATGGTCGGGCACCATGAATTTTTGTTTAACCTAAAATGTATTTTTAATGCGTTTGTCAGCGGCAGGCCAACGCAAAAAACAAAGACTTGAATAGACAACAAAAAATGATTTGGGTAGCCGCTAAATATGAATTTGCACTGAAAAACAAAGTTCATGGATATGGGGTGAAAAATTTCAAAGGATTATATTCAACAAATTAAATATATTTGTCGATACGGTTAGGTGTTTAAAGTTTTAAGGCATTTTTCATTGCACATTTTTTTGTTAAAGTTTGCAGTTTACTGTATTATAAGTTATAATTATAATAATTTATAATACATTGTTTTCTGTTTATAATTTTGTTAATTAAATTAATTTTTTTCTCTACATACTTATGCTGTTCCCACCCCATTTTAAACCTACTCAGTTAATAATAATAAAGGCCATTTCCCAAACCATTTACAGACGACCATCGAACAATCGCTGGTAACGATACACGACATTGCCACTGAGAATTTGGGGACATTGTGCATCTCGACTCTATATCGACCCCTACAAGTGCCCATCAACTCGGAACGATATGAGAGCTCCAGACAGAAAGCCGATTTGGCCGCCTCGATACTTCAGGAAGTGGGCATCATTCGGCACGGCGGTGAGTTTGAACAGAATATAATTCCACCTACCTTACAACCAACGTACAACCCATATTTTTTATCCCATCATCGATTATTGATTTCGTTTTTGTTTGCTTGTGGGCGATGTTTGGTCTGTTATCGCAGCCGAATGACATTTTCCTGCTGGGCAAATTCATATACGAAAGTCAATACGTGTGGCTCGCATGCGGAGCCGATTAAAATATAGTATGTGTGCGTGGGTTGAACTGTATCGATATGGTTTCAGCTCCGCAACTTTTTATTAAATGGCCGCCATTTAAAGTTATTTTGGTGGCCACAGTGGGAAGTCCTCACTCAAGGTGGGACTTACATATTGCTTGTGCTGATGTTTTTTGTAGCACACTTTGGGTAAGTCCTTTATCCGAAGGTAAACATTATTAAATATTAAAAGCATCAAAGAAAGGATAAAATGTCAGAGTTATTCAGATTTTATATTGTTAAATGTCTTGAAAGTGGAATTCTTCTGCGAGATATTTAACAGGAAAATGGAATTATTTTCAATAATATAAATATTTATTAAATATTTCTCAACTTGTTTTCCCTAAAAGAGGGCTCAATCTCTTAAAGAAAGTCCCAGAATTGCTGGAATTTATAATATAACCATTTATTTGGTTCTCCCCAATTCAAACACAATTCCATATATCCCTTAAGTGGAAATCTGATTCCCTTTTGCTGTGTAAAGATTTCATTTAGCCCTCCGAACCTTGTAAAATGCTGTGTATATTTGTACTTATTGCCATACATGTCCTTGCTTAATTTCACAAAATCTGTTCCTTTTTGACCCTCTTTTTCACACCATCCTCCTCTCCACCCCCACCATTTGTTCTCGTTGACGATGTTCCAGTAAAAGCTTCGTGGGTAAATCACAGTTGAGTACAAGAACGAATGCGACGGATGACACAACGCACAATGTGAACTTTAAATTAAATCTACAGCAACAACGTTAACATTGGGACTAACAACGGCAAAGGACAGTGCATGTGAACTGAGTGGGTGGTGGGTAATGGAGGGATTTTTGAGGAAGGTCGGCAGGGGGGGGGACGAAGCGTCGGCATTGCTTGATGCGCCACAAGTGCGTCGTTCGTTGTCAACCCCAATGCTGTCGCACGGCTGTCAGGACAAGACTTTCATTCTGATCCCAGTTGCCAGTCACCCGACAGCAGCCTTGACAATGCCCAACAAAGTGATAAACTGAAAGAAATTATAAATATTACTTTTGAAACGTGGATGCTTTTTATTAAAATTTTAAAAAATATTTATAATAAAACTCAAAAAAAATCATTACTTTTGAAGAATATTATAAAAATCACAAAAATAATAATCATGGTGAAAATGGATAGAATAACCAAAGAGGATCACTAGGTGTTTTCCTTTTTTTACCTCTGTTAATTCTAAGATCTTGTATTTTTGGTTCAAAAAATATATTAACAATTATTATTTACAGTCCCTGACTATACATTTTTTATTCTGAACTTTTTTTTGTGGAAATTTTATTTCTTTATTTAACAAAATATAAATATTAACAACAAAGAACAAAAAAGACTTATTGACATCAAGCCTAAAACTTTAAACTGGCTCTGGGTAAAAAATTTTTACATAAAATTTCTCAGTAACTATTGATTAATGCAGGGCTCTAGAGGGTAATTTAACTTTAACAGGGTTAAACACATGACTTTCTTCCCAAAGTGTAGAAATCATCCAATAAAATGCTATCAGTGTGTCATGCATAGTCAAGGACGAGCCGGAGCACAAAACGCACAATGAACTCATCGCTGGGGCTCTGGTTCTCGGGTTTGCCTCGGATCGGGATAATAAGGGGAGCTGGAAGTGTTGGAGCGCACAAGTTGCCATTATGGTCATGATTTCCACACCGTCTTGAAACCGGCCACCTCTCTCGGTTGGCAGACAGCTATATCTGGGTTTTTTTCCTTGCCGTCACTCGCTCTGTTCGTGCTCAAAAAGGTGAGACGTGTCAGCGAAAATCGCATAAAACGAAGGCAAATTGGTGCCTTTTGTTGCTGCTGCTGCTGTTGTTATTGTTCCATCATCCTGTTGAGCGCAGCAGAGCAACAGGAGGCATCCATTTGTGTACAATTTCGGCACTTGCCTCTATCTTACCCTCGGCCGCCTGTGTTGACTCTTGAAATTTTGATGCGGCGCATAAATTATTCGTATAAAGTGCCCTCGCAAATCGAATAAATTTAAGCCAATTTAAAAGGGGCAACAGCGGCAGCCACTCAAAAGGATATCACTGGCTTGACTAGCGTGGAACTGCAGAACGTGAGAAGCGCGGAGAGAGGCGAAGTGAAGAATCCGTTGCCTGCTTTTAGGCTTAAATGAAAAGGATTCCGTGATTGGCATGGAAATAACCTCTTAATTTAAAGAGCGAATAAAACTATTAAATTTAACCTTCTTCGGAATTTTAAATCTATTTTCTGTCTTTTTTCTAAATAATCCTTTTAGCTACTAACAACATTTAAATGGGAATCGGTGTTGTTCTATTTTAAATTTTTAATTTACATTTTACAATGCATTAAAAGTACTCCGAAAAATCCCTTACATCTTTTATGCGACAACCAAATAAATGTTCTTCCAATTGTTGTGCGCCCCGAAATATGCCCAGAAAATGGTTCCCAGATGTCCGGTTTCAGGCAAACAGAATCTCGGGTAAATTTAATTATTCCTGAAACACCTGACATCTGCAAAAACCCCCACATGAGACAGCAAAAACATGTCTGACTGTAGTTTGAATAATTGCCAATTTTACACACTCTGGAACTTTTGCTTCCAACCACGAAAAAAAGACAAACACAAATTGTTACAATTGTTGTTACATTTTCTGCAACACCCTTCAAGCGGGAGAAACAAAAACATGCCCAAGAGGCAATAAATTATCCAACTATCCAAAAAAAAGGGGAAAATAGATTGATGACGGAATACGGACGAGTGCGGAAAAAATGGCAGACCTGATGATGAATGAGCCCGTGACCCATAAGCACATCATTCCCGTTATTCGTCCTGTCGCAGTGTGTTACCTTCTCAGGTGAAAACCATCTGACAGCCATTGCGAAATGTTGTTTACCATAAGCGTTCTGTCTAGCCCAGAATAAGGGCAAAGGAATGGTGAAGGATTGAGCACATATGCCTGCACGGGGAAATAAAAGATATGGAATCTACAAATTCGTTTGGCAAGTCTTTAAAGCAGCGATTAAAAATAACAGTTATTTGAAACTTTCACTGTGACAACATTACTGTGATTTTCATTTTTAAACATTAAAAATATCACTCTTTACTTGTGTGGACAAAGTATAAAAAAGAATATAAAATATTAAGAGTTATTGTTCTTTTTCTCTTCTTTTTATCCATCAGAAAACTTTATTGTTTTGTTTAAGCTTGCAATTTAGGGGTCCCTACCAGGAACTACCTTGGTGAACTTTTCGAATTTGTCATTCCTTATGGCTGAAAAGGCTTTACCCTCATATAAATTTAAATGTAGTACTTATCATTTATAATTTTTACCGCAAATATATTAGTTAAGACTTTGTCTTAAGTCTGTTATCGAATCCAACATGTATAGTTTTACTATTGAAGCTTAAATTGATTGTTTTGTTATCTTACCATACTCGATATAAATTCGACTTTGTGCTATACTGTCATTATCCAAATAAGTGTGTTTAGTGCACACATCATTTTAAAAAGCCCTAGAGTGTCGGGTAAACTCTGCCACTACGATAATGTCTTTAATCGGATGAAAAAAGTAAACATATAGCGCCATTTAACCCACGTGTACTGCCATATCGCAGATCCTTTTGTTTCTATTTTACTCCCACGACAGCGAATCAGAAAAGTTTGCCAGCGAAAAAAATGCACGTACACGGTTTATGTTGCTTTCTGCCGGATAAAGAAGAGAAAAACTTTACGAGATGTTACGCGTACCTTCTCCAGTAGCAGTAACAAAAACAAACAGGAAAAGGAAAATAAGCAAACCCTATACATACTGAAACATAAAAATAAAGAAAGTACCACGGAAGTTGCGGTAATCGAATTTAAATAAGTTTACTTTGTAAACAATTCTCGTTTCGCTTTTGCTACCACTCCCCCATTTTTTTTTCCTCACTGAAAGTCAAACACCAGGGTTTTCATTTCAGCCTTTTTCCAGATAAATATCTAACTTTTTCATCATTTTCGGAATTGTAATAAACTATAAATATTCCTAATCTATAATGAACTAAAAATTAAGAGTACTTGAAGTATTCTACTTCGCCTGAAAAAGGGTATCAATTATATTAATTCCTTTATATAATAAATATTTTAATTTCTTTTTTTTTTTAAATATTTTAATTTCTGTTTGGTTAAGCTGTTTAAAAAAAAAATTTTCCAAAATATAATTTCTGGTTATTCCGTTGAACCTGATTGTAATACAAAATATAAAATTTATTTGGTGTGGAAATTTAAAAACATATCTGGAAATTTAGGGCCGTTTAATCGTTCTAAAGCTTAGCTCCTTTTTTGAAATTCAGTCAGCACTGAAAGCAAAAGGCGGGCGAGTGTTGCAAAAATATTAGCTTTTGACAGTCGCCGCCCACACAGGCCCACTCTCGCAGGGGCTAGAGCGAGAGGGAAAGATGAGGAAGAGAGAAGGCCTCTGATGTCCTGCCGCGCATATTAATCATTGTTGTTGGCTTGACACTTTCGCCAAGGCCGAAAGAACAACTGCAACAACAGCTGCGGCTTTTAATGACTGTTTCAAGGTCGCAATAACAATAACAGATGTTCCGAGTTAAGCGCTTTAAGTTTCGAGAAAATGCAACGCAATGGGCTAACAATGCGAAAGCCCTACTAACGTGATTAACACATTTGATTGCACATGCACAGTTCGTGTGGAAATGCGTATCCCACCCACACAAATGTAATTGTCCATATTTCAGAGCTCATTTAAATAAAACTTCAGTTTTAATTAACAAACAAAAAGAATTGGTTCTTGAAGGGAATGTACGTACTTCAAAATATTAAATATTACTCCCAAAAAAAACTTCTAATGAAACGATGATCGATTTGATGTTTTGTGGTATCAATTTTGACTTGATATGCGGGCACCTCAATTCGATTTGCTCGAAATGTAAACGACAGGCCAGTTTGAATTTTGAATGTGTCTTTCTCCCTCCCACTCATGTCATTTTAACTATATTTAGAATTGAGGGAGTTTAAAAATGATATGCGTATGCAACACCAGAAATTTACCATGCACATATCTATTTGACCGCGACGTGTTTTTACTTTGTGCGTATTTAGAATGATAATAAACTATTTACGAATTTAACAAGCTCCATAGACAACATTCCTTTTAAAGACTTTTCTCTTTTTATCGATTTTTAAATATATCATCTGAGTAGTACTCTGTTGCATTAATCGCTTAACAAGGATGCAGTATAAACAAGTTGAAATTGCAAAAATATTTATGTAAATCACTGAGAATGGAATCAAACGAAGCACGTCGGTAGCTGGGAAATCAACAATGGAAATGCAATTCCCATTGGGAAATCGAAATGATGGCGGGCCGAAAATGAGAGCCGCAACCTTCGCGCCATAAATAATTAAAGTTGGGCAATTTGTGCGCTGTAATCAGCAATTACGGGCAGTGAAGTGACACGACCAATTCGTTTTCGTGCGAATTGCAAGTAGGATTTTTAATTACTTTGTGCGTACTTTCATTTAATTTCCGCCACCAATTAAGGGAATAACATTTTGTCCATGTGACCCAGAATGCTAATGTACTAATATATATATTTATATTTTCATTGGCAGGATTGTCGGATGCCTTGGCCAAGGGTCTGCTCACCGATGACTTTATAACAGGGGCCCGCATTTTGGCCCTGAATCTGACGAATGGAGCGGTGCAGTCGTACGTTTGGTGGGTCAAAGGGGGTCAGGCGGAAACGCAGCGTTACGACGAGGATGGTCTGCAGATTGGCAAAAAACCCGCAGGCAGCTATCCCTGGTAGGTACCTAAAAAATAATTGCTGCCAAAAAGTTCAGAACACTGTGCTACAATTTAAAGGTTTATTTAATTATTATAAATTTAATAAGTAGAGAGAGTGAGCGAAATGAATCTGCTAAAGTTTTATTTTTATTTATTTATTGTCAGGTTAAAAAGGAAATTATAAATTGCCTCTAACCTTGCTAAAGTATTTAAGGACCTTTCTGCATATTTCAGTGATATTTTTTTGATAAGTATTAGTAAAAATGTTTTAATAATTGTCTTTATTTGATTAGAAATAAGGGCTAAAGGAAATATAAAAACATTTATATTTAAAAAGTTTAGGATTCTTAAAAGAGGTCGATTTTAAGATATATTTCCAAACGGACAAACTTAGGTATGTATTTAACGATCTTTCTGCAAAAAATATACTAATATAAAAAGAAACAATTTTCAATAAATAAAATTAAGAATTTGTGAGAGTAATGTATGTTTTATTCGATTATATTTCTAATATAAAATCTAAAGTGACAACACTATCGATTTGTAATGTACTCCACAGGTTCGACGACGAGACATCGACGCCCACACTGCGTTCCCCGAAATTCGCGCCCAGTCCGCCCAACAATTACTACAAGGGCTGGTGGACCTTCCCCTACTTCTCGTGCTCCCTCAGCCGCTGGCTGGTGTCCTACAGCATCGCAATCCCGCCGACTGGTCGGCACGGGCTAAGGGGCTTCATCAGCATCGACATCGACTTGTCCACGCTGCGGGTTAACCAGTGCGAGGCGGAGCCCTATCAATTTGGCAGTCGCCGGCAGAAATTGCAGCAACTGCAGCAACAGCATCGCCTCTCGGCTCGGAGGTCCCCGTTTTTGGGCGGCAGGATGGGGCTCATTGATGAGGGCACCATCAACGATCTGCAAGCATTCCACAGCTCCCACAAGTGTCATCGCACCTCCATGGTGGTGAGTATATCAAAGGTCCTTGAAGGGTTTAATTTAATATTTTTTTTTTAAATCGTACATAATTAAAATAGTATTGAATAGGGTTTTTTCTGGTAATGTTGGTAAACGTGTTTGTCAAACTTAACACAATAAGTGCTTTTTGAGGGTTGTCGCATTTAGTAGGGTTGCCACCTGAATTTAAATATTTGTCATAATGACAATGTCATTATATATTTTATACAGTAACCCTTGCCCTTGCTGTCGTCGAGTTTAGTCATTTAAATTCAGTAAAGAACACAGGACACTTTTTATTTTTCAAGGTAAATATTTCTGTTGATAAATTTGAGTTATTTTAAAGTAAGAGAAATCATTGGTTATTTAGATCGATTATCAGGAGCTTCATCTTTATTGTAAAGGCAATGGATAATACAAAAAGTGATATGTCGAAATCAAAAACGCAGAGACAATCGAAACGAAAGTTGCGTAAACCTGTGAAGAGGCTTAATACTGGTTCTCGCAGAATGGTGACACCGATGAATTCTTCAGAAGGGAATCGTCAAGCCGTAAGACGCCCCTCAAAAACAGCTTACAGGAATTTCATCAAAAAGTTCAAAAAATCCAATCCTGGAGCTTTAGCTATGGAGGGCGCTTCTCTTTGGCGAAAAATGAGTTTAAGTGAGAAGAAGCAATTTCGAGTGCGAACGCGTAGTCTTAGGAATAATGATTCACAGATGACTGAGGCAGGATTTCCTGAAATAGATATAGATAATCTAAGTGAGCCACGTCAAGAATCTAATAACGAACCACTTCAAGAGAGAACAGTTGAAATAGATATAGATAATCTAATTGAGCCAAATCAAGAATCTAATAACGAACAACTTCAAGAGAGAAGAGTTGAAGAAACGCGCTCCTGGCAGGCAAACACTTTTTTTTTGTTAAATATTGTCTCAAAATGGTTTTATTCGTTACTAAAAAAATATATTTCATAAACGCATTAAACAACATTTTTTAACTATAAATACAACTTATTTTATTAATATTTTTTCTGAAACTGTTGCTGGACAACTTTAATTCCAAATGTATATTAGTTGAACCACTTTGCAACTCGCATTGATTCCACCTGCGGCTTTTTAACCCAAGTGCATTTCTTTTTCCCCTTGGCAGTGTGACTACCGTCAGCCGAGTGCGGAGACTCCGACAATAACCGGAGGAAAACTGGTGACCTCGCTGACCGGGAGCAGCAGCTGGTCCCGGGGATCCTACCAGTGCCTCTGCCGGGGGGGATTCTACTCGCTGCGGCATCCGGACGGATTCAACGGCACCATCATGGAGATTGCCTGGCAGGAGCAGCAGGACAATATAAGCAATTACTATACGGAGGTCTTCAAGTGTTTGCCCTGCGCCCCCGGCTGTGACACGTGCACGGGTCCGGAGCCGTGTCTGGCCAACTACCACTGGCCATTCAGGTTGGTATCCATATCCGTGATTGTTTGCCAGTGATGGGAGAGGTAATACTATACCTACAAGGTGTACTACGAAGAAAAGTAGCCAACAAAGTTATTATTCAGTTGGTAAATAAAAGTTAAGGGTACAACGCAGTGCAGTTGCTTCGAAATGTTTCACTTTCAGAAGCTCTATAATATAATTTCATTTATTATTTTATATTTACAGATGACATTTAATATGAGACGTAGAATTATTTTTAAAGGGCTCCAACACATAAAAATGCCATTTATTTTATTTGTATAGCAGCCGACAAAGTTACCGTTCAGTTGGTAAATAAAAGTAAAAGGTACAATGCATTGTAGTTGCTTCAATAAGTTTTACTTTCAGAAGCTCTATAATATAATTTCATTTATTATTTTATATTTTTTAATAACATTTAATATGACACGTAGCTTTGATTATCCAGATTATTGTGCAATCCACAGATACTTACTAAGTAATACTTAGACTTAAAAAAATAATACAAAAATGAATAACGCAATAAAACAAGAAAAATCGAGGGACCTTTTCCCATCACTGGTATTTCAATAGCAACATAAAAACTAAGCGTCCTCCATGTCAATACCTTTCTTTCTTATCCTTTAGAATATCCCTGTTGACCATATCCATTGGCTGTGCCTGCGGCACCTTTGTACTCGCCGGCTATCTCTTCCGGCATCGTCGCGTCAAGGTCTTCAAGGTGGCCAGCCCCATTTTCCTGATGATCACGCTCATCGGCTGCGCCATCATGTATCTGGAGGTGAGTAGTACTCGGGTCATTGGGGGCGACACTCTTAACCCATTAGACCGGTCTGAAAGCGCAGGAAAGGGCCAGAAACACACAAAGGCCATTTGAAAACAATGCTGCTAATGCGACAAAAGGCCCAAACGTGGTCGGCACGCGCTCATTCATAATTAACCCACATGTGTGCCCATTTCGGTTCTTATCCCACTCCCATTTCTGGATGTAAAGGGATCTGCGAACAAACCACAGCACAAAAGTACCACTTATGGGTTTTTAAATGCGGCTTTTAAGCACTTACTTGTCGAAAGGGTAACGGCGGTTTCAGGGCTCATTTCGTAAAAATAGGAGTTTAAATATATTTTAAAATCTATATCAGAATGCTCAACCTTTAAAAAAATAACATATCATTATTAAGGCATATTCAGATTTTTCTAATTAATAGATAAATAAAAAATAAAATATTTTTGTACAACATTTTTAGATTGTTTGAATTAAAATTTGTTTATTACTATAAATGTAGTTTATCAAAAATATCAAAACAAACATGTAAATCATCTAAAAAAAATGTCTTCACGTATTTGTTTTGACTTCAAAAGGGTGTAGCACATTCACCTTAAAAAACGTTTAGCTTTGTATTCCCCCTTTCTCTGGCTGGCAATTATGTTGTCAACATTAGTAGACCAACAATGCTAGAGCACCCAGTGGACACATAAAACCAAAACACACACAATGGCAGTACAAGATGTTACAAACAAGAACGACAAATGGGTCAAGAAGTTGGAGTAAAAAAGGAAACTTAAAGAATACAATTTTACTCGATTTTCTAATCAAAAACCACAAATAAAAATTCCAAAAAACCATTGAAAATTAATAGGAAAGGATTATGAGCAAGAAATCACTTAAAAATCAAGGTACAAATTTGAAGGATGAAAGTTCAGAGAAAGAAGATGAGGAGGATTTGCAGGCTGCGATTAAGGAAATGGTCAAAACCGCCGATATAGAAGAAAGACCAGAGACCAGTAGACATTATAAGTCTAACGATCAGGACAAACACATTCAAATTCCATTAGTAATACAAAAATCTCAAGCGGAACAAGGGTCGCAAACGGGAGAGAATTGTGAAGAACCTAAGAAATCGAAACGTAAACAAAAGAAAGTGGAAAGCGAAGACAGTTGGGCTACACTTCTTATAAACAGGTTTACCTGGATTAGGAACCCCAAAACTACTGAAGTCGTGCCGCCCGAACAGGACCAAGCACAACCGACTTCTAGGGATGACACAGAAAATAGGAAGCATAATATAAAATCTTCTACAGACACCTCAAGCGAAAGTCTAGTACGAACTGATCATTATGAGCATTCTGAAAGAAAAACCGAAGAAATATCATCCAATAAAAATCAGTTAAGTGACGAGGCATCAGGGGAAGAAACACCGGAGTTTCTGGAGAAATTGCGCAAAATTGAGGAGGCCTCAAAGCCAAAAACTTGGAAGAGACCAACACCGATTGTCATAAAACCCAATCAGGTTTCTTCAGTAACAAAAAAGGAGAAGGAGAATGAAGCGGATAAGAAGCCACCTACTGATACTCAAGAAAAACATAGGTATATTAATATTTTGAAGGTTCCATTTCATCGTAATTTAAATTATGCTTCAGATGATGAAACGAATAATAAGACGACAGTTAATCAATTACCTGAAGATAGGCCCTCCGAGCCTCCAGCTGAAACTCCAGAAAACGAACCAAAATCACAGAAAATATCGGATGAAAAATCGGGAGAAAATCGAGAGAAAAAGACTGCAGAAAATTCCGAAGAGAAAAGCCGTGAAAGAACAGATTCGCAAAGGACCCTGACAATCACGGGACACTCGCATATAACCACAAAATTGGATAAACACTGTCATTTTAAGGAGCAGGACTCCAGAGTGGATAAGGCGGCCAGACGCAAATTAATAATCGCCTGCATTCTGTGCACCGTATTCATGATTATTGAGATTGTCGGCGGGGTTATTTCCAATAGTCTGGCCATTGCCACAGATGCTGCCCATTTGCTCACGGACCTCGCCTCATTCCTCATCTCACTTTTTGCTTTGCATCTGGCTGGAAGACCTCCGTCGGAGCGACTTAACTTTGGATGGTATCGCGCCGAGGTCATCGGAGCCATGATATCCGTGTTCTTTATCTGGGTAATTACAGGTGAACGGTAAATATTCGCCCTTGGAAAAATATTTAACTAACCATTTTAGATACAACATTTGATACAATCAAAAATGTAGTCCCCCTGAATATTAAAAATGTGCGTTAATGTTCTCCATGTATTTATTTTATTTAAAAATATTTATAAGAGCTTAAGAATTTTCTAATTTTTAAAAAAAATAATTTTTGGAGAATAGATATTAGTTAAATATGTTGCAATACCCTTTTAAGTCAAGTTCACCATACAAAATCGAGCTACATTTACTTATTAATTTTAGACACCACTAGACTTAGAAACCTAAAAGAAAAAGTGGTATTAATTCGACCTCCAAAACAAATTGGATGACTTATCTGATTTCTTATCAAGTCCACTTAATCCCAAAAACTTCCCATTTTCCTGAATTTAAAGACTATTTCGCGATTCCGTCGCAGGCATCCTTGTGTATATGGCCATTGTGCGATGGGTTAACCAAGACTTCGATCTGGACGCCCAGATAATGCTGATCACCTCGGCGGTGGGCATAATATTCAACGTGATAATGGCCCTTCAATTGCGTCACGGCCACTCGCACTTTACTCCGGGGAAGTTCAAGAGGTCGAAAGTCGCAGAATCGCAGCCACTGAGTACGGTTTTCTTGGGACCCCAAAAGGGTCCAACATCGATGGTGGGAAGGTCTGTGTCCACCCAGTTCCCTGTAAAGGCTGAACAGAACATCAATGTGCGAGCGGCTATGATTCATGTGATCGGAGATCTCCTTCAGAGCATTGGCGTTTTTGTGGCCGCTTTGATAATATTCTTTTTGCCGGACTGGGCCTTCATGGACTCCCTTTGTACATTCCTCTTCTCGGTGCTGGTTATTGTGGTTACATTCAAGATCCTAAAGGACGTACTCATGGTCCTCATGGAGGCCACTCCAGATTTCCTGGACTACGAGGAGGTCAAACGGACATTTCTCTCCATTCCGGGCGTAGAGCACGTTCATAACCTGAGGATTTGGGCGCTGTCCATAAACAAGGTGGCCTTGTCCGCCCACCTGGCCATTTCCAAGGATGCCGATCCTCAGCTGATCCTCGAGGAGGCCACTAAACTGATTCACAAGCGGTTTAGGTTTTTCGAGACCACCATACAGATCGAGGAGTATTCGCCGGATATGGAGAACTGCGAACAGTGCTTAAGTCCAACGGATAAAAATGAAAGACGGAAGTCAGCGGACTTGGAAAAAGGAGTAGCGGAGGTGGACCTGAAAAGGAACCAGATGCAGAAGCCCTCGGATCCCGAAAATGGATAAAAAAGGAATTATTATACTTATATTTTTTTATTCTGAAAGATATTAAATTTTAATGTGTACCTATAATTATAGAAATTATTATCAAAATATTTGTATTGCCGCAATACTATTGCGTTAATATTAGATTTATTTAATGCTGAATTAGTAACGAATTTAGGGCTTATCTAACAAAATCAATTTTGTATTCCTTTTTAAGCTCTATATTAAAATTTTTCTTTATAGATGGTAGCCATATTTCCGTATTTGGATACTACATGGTGTATCGCAACCAAATGGACACGGCATATGGGTTTTTGCATCACCTACACTTCGCTACTAATGAAAACTTGGCGGTAGGACTGTCTTCTAAATGGCAAAAAAAATTTGGAAACTATTATCTATTCACTTTTCACGCAGAGTTTCTTTGACTTATCGTGTCAAGTCGGCCCACAAAATAAAGCTGAACGACCAGCAACTATTGCAGTGGATGGTGCCCATTTTATTGGTTATGCTGATCTACTTGGGAACTTGGACCATTTCGGCAACGCCAAATGCTGAAGTGGTAAGTATAAATGGGAGCTTACATATATGTTTTGATTAATAATTACTTTATTATTTTCCGTATAATTTTCAAGATCTTGGACCAAAGTCGTTTGAAGTTTAAGCAGTGCTCGTACAATTGGTGGGATCACAGTTTAGCCATTGGAGAAGTATTCTTTCTGGCTTGGGGAATTCGGGTGTGTTATAATGTGCGGAATGCGGAGAGTCTGTACAACGAGGCGCGACTCATCTCGTACGCCATCTACAATATAGCCCTCGTCAATATTGCCATGGTGGTATTCCAGTAAGTTCACACTCAAATTGTTAATTAGTTTTTATATATCCTACTTATTTAATATTATATCTAAATAAACTGTTTAGTTGTGTTTGACACAATATATATCTTCCATCCACCAAATCAAGATTAAAACTTATAACCCTAACAGTTATAAGACCGCGAATTCTTTAGCACAAATTTTTTATGATTACATATTTTTATTTTTTAATTTACTGGGGTATAGAACAAACTATTTACTTTAGGTATACATTTCGTTACTGGGCTGCTAAAGGGAATTCACCACCTGATGAAGCTCCTTCCCGCATAGAATTGTATTATAGCAGTTGACACATGTTTGGTAATCCAAAATGCTGGAGCACGCATCGCATCCATTAGGGGAAATGTAAAGCTGCCCGTCTTACGCGGCCCGCTTTTAATTAAATTCCTTTGCTTTGTGCGCGCTTGTGTTCGCGCTGTAATCCTTTTTGTTGGCCCGTAAGGACTCGCATCCTCTCGCCCTTTATACGGGTTTCACTCTGTCTGTCGCTTTGTTTACATACACATTCCTGGCCATTCTCTATGGTTCAAGTTGTCTGCCGGCTCGCGTCGGTTTCCCCCACTGAAATCCCTTTGATGAAGTCCTTATAATTAATGCAATTTGTTGGAAAACTTGCTGTGCCACGCACCTAAACAAATCCCAATTGGGTTAGGTTAGTGTTGTGGATATAACCATAATTGGCTGACCCGCGAAAGGTGCTAGAATATTTTAAGGAATTCGTGATGTAAAAAAGGAAATATATTGGCATATATGCAAAATTAAAGTATGTTGTCTTTGGAATTGATTTATATCTTTACTTAGATCTGAAAACTTAATAATAAATTAAATTTCACTTTTAAAAAGTTTAAGATAAGCTTTAAAATTTTATTTTTTGAAAAATTCTTATTAATATAATTATTAATTAAATATTATTAAATAACACAATAGATATTTTATTTTTTACTTTCAATTAATTGATTATTATCCCCCTTACAGTGTAATGCTTTTTCCAAATGCCGGACCCGATTACAAATATATGCTGGGATTTGTGCGCACCCAGCTTTCGACGACCACCACCATTGCCCTGGTATTTGGGCCAAAGATTTTGCGAGTTTTCAAGGGACAGGGCGACAAGTGGGATCAGAAGGCCAAGGTTAGGAGCATAACGGCTTCCTTCTCTCTAAATGGAGTGGGTCTTGTGGCAGAAGAGTCGCCCGATTTGTATCAGGAGAATGAGGAACTTAAGGTAAAAATTCCACTTAATGAATAAAAATTAAAGAATTAGCGAAGTAACATTCTTTTGATAGGAACAAGTCCAAAAGTTGGCCCACCAAATTGAGTTCATGAAGACTGTGCACATGCAGATGAACAACAGGCATCTAAAGCCAAAGCCGGGCGGATATTTTACCATAACATCAACCTCGTTTCAAGCGCCCTACAGCAAGAACACGGTTTCTACGGCGCAGACGCAAACTGGGAAGGATGAGACCAGGTCAGCGATACGAAATACTTAATAACTTTTATTATTGATCAATCTTTTATAACAGTATATTATTTTTCGTGACGATGCTTAGCTAAAAGGCTATGGTTCCTTTCTATTAGACGTGAACCATTTCCATTTTTTGTTTCTAAGCTAACAGTTTTTAGTTATCTACCCCAAAAAAAACTTCATATGAAACGAGGATCGATTTGATGTTATGTGGTATAATTTTGAGTTGATATGCGGGCAGCTCAATTCGATATGCATGTAATGTAAACCATATGCCAGTTCGAATTTCGAATGCGTCTTCCACTCTTTTTCGAAGCCAGAGAATCTCCGAAAAAGAGATTTCGATAAGAACGATACGCGTATGCAATACCAGAAATTTAACATGAGCATATCGATTTGACCGCAACGTGTGTTTTTTTTTAAATAAAAAAAATGTTCTTTTTTTCGAATTAAAATAATTTTATAACCACACTTAAAACAAATACAACTTTTATGATTTCCCCTTAGTACGCCAACGAAATTAAAATCGCCCAAGGGCAAAGTCTGACGAGGTCAACGAAGTGTTAAAGATTGCTCAATAGAAGACGATGGGAGGCAGGGCACCACCACCCTGGTGGAGGATGCCATTGAATTTAATTTCCACCAATCGGACTCGGAGGAGATGATTACCCTGAAGGGAGAGCAGCGGCCAGGATCAGAGGAGGCGGCCTTGATCGCCCAGTTTCGCCGCCTCTTTGCGCCCATTTTGGATGATAGTTTGAACCTGTATTACCAACTCAACGATCTGGATGACGCGGAGCACGTGAGGATCCATCAAACGGTCGCCCAGTTGAATGAGCTGACCAGCAGCGAGGAGGAGACGATGGTTACCCAGGTGAACAGTCCAACGCCACCGGTGGAGGTGGAGCTAATGCTGCCGTTTTCCAGCGACGGCAGTTCCACGGCCAGCAGTTCCCTCTACGCGATCCACACCCCGTCTCCGGCTCATCCCAGTGGTCTGCTCCTGATGCCCCAGAACTTGGAGTCACCAGTGATGTCCTGCAGCGATGCCATTACGATCACCGAGCAGGTGCAACTGCACAATCCGCCGCATCATCTGCAGCTCCTCGAGGATGAGAACAACACATCCTGTTCGCTTTCATCGAATCTGACGGATAGCAAAACCCTGGATGGCCGTACACCCATTGTAGTCTGAAGGATTCTCATCCCCCGGTCTGCTTAACTTGTGATTTTGTTTACACAGTCTTAGAGCAACAACAAACAGTTAGCAAAAAATAAACAGCTTAATGTTTAATATAGTCTTAAATAATGTTTGTGTGTATGTGTCTGTCAAAGTTGTTTAAATATTAAAAGCGTTTATGCGGAAGAAATTGAGTTGAGTAGTTTTAAAATCATTTCCAATCATGAAATATTTCAAATCAAACGAGGATTAGTAAATATCCCACCAACTAATTTTACTATTTTCTAAATTTGTGAAAACATGATAAATTAATTATAAATGAAATCAAATTTTAATTAAATAGTTTCTCAAAAGTAAACAAACTTTTAAAGTACTTATTTATTGCTAGCATTTAAAAAACATATTGCTTTACAATTTATTTCACGTTTTTTTTTAACTTTTACTTTTTTCTTGAAAAGCATCCGATCATCTTCAACTTTCCTGCCGCATAAACGCAATCTTCATGTGTATGTTATAATGTTTTACTTTCGGCTTTTTAACCATACACCCATCCATTATCCCATCATCCATGATCTCCATTGTTTTTTAAACCACAAAAAGGATCAACATTGAGCAAATTTTTCTCACTTCGTTCGGATCGAAAGAGGATGTTGTATAGAAGAAATGTAGACGGCCAGATGGTCTGATGGGTCTCATAGAGCCCATTGGAACCCCTAGGGACTTGGCATTAACAAATCTAATTTATCTCTCATGCACATAGCGAAATAAATTGTATTTTCCCTTCTTATCTCTGCACTCATTCATAGAACAATTATTATTTGCTTTGTAGTTAAACTTACATGATTTTCATTGTCATATAATCTATATGAATAAACATCTAAGAATAGCAAAGAGTCGATTTTAGTGTACAAGATGATACATATACTGATATAATAAATTGAAATTTTAGCGTATTTTAAGCTGAGAATGTTAACAGAAGCGCAATTCTTCTTCATACAGTTGGGCAATACGTATTATGAAAAGTATTCAAAACAAAAAAATGTATAACTAAACAAGAAATATAAAACATTTATAAAGTAAGTTAAAGTTAAATTAAAGTATTGTAAAGGAAACAATATGACAAGATCAAAAACAACAAAAATAAATGTTATACAAATTAAGAAAGTGTTTTGTTTTTTTAAAACTACAAACACTGCCAGTATTTTTCACTCTGATTTGGAAATTCTTTTCTAAGTTGTTACAAATCTACAAAATTTTCCATGATGAGGCAGGAGCTGCTAGACGAGGAGTTCGAGTCTTTGCGTCGCATTGCATTGGCCATTTGTCAGAACCTCGGAAGGCCGAAGGATCGCGAGATATGCCGAAACACCCTCGAAGAGCTGGCCAAGTTTAATCAGGCTTCGTCGATCAGGATCAAGGAGAATGTCCACAAGTTTATGATGTTCTATCTGAAAGTGCTACGGTGGACCCAAAAGAACCAGCCCGTGGATTTATATCGGCAATGGGTAAGTTTAGAGATGCAGATCTGTAGCAACTATTACGTAAACGTTGACTATATTTTAGTATGGTCAACATTTTGGTAATGATTCGAAGTCTGCCTCATCGGCTGCAACCTCAATGGATGAGATGCGAATTTGGTTGGAGGAGGGAAGGTCCTTTTATGCCATGAAAACATTTGAGGATGGCTCCACCACCGTTTACACAGCAGTGGCCAAAGATCCAAAGGCTGGTTGGTCAGAAAATGGTCTGAAAACTCTGATTGAAACGCAAATTGGCTGCTCCTTGAATCAAGATGATAAATAAATGTTTTCATATATACTAAACATATGTATATTTTTATTATACGTGTTTAACTCGAGATTGTTTGTGCATAATTGCATTTCGATATGAAAGTTCAATGTACTTGGTAGTATAAAAGCAAATAAATAACCTTTTGGAAAATATGGCTTTATAATATAATTTTTGTAGTCTCAAAGCCTCAAACTGTTTTAAAGTCAGTCATAGTCTCAGAGTTCTTTCAGGACGGATGATTATAAATACAACTGAAACAATTTAAATGCTTGTGTCATATTTTACTCAGGCACTTGGGTTGATTTTAAATTATTCTGGGACAACAATTTATGACTTTTGGTTTTAATTTGGTTGGAAGAGATTTCTGTACCACCCGTAATGAAATGCTTAGATTTAAAATGTTATTCTCTTATTCTGATTCATTAAAAATCAAACAAGTGGATTTAATATTTATAAAGAAGACAAAAATTAGTTGTCTTAGCAACAAAATAGTAAAATGGACTTTAAAACAAAGATTACTTATTGCTTTTATAATATTTTAACTTGTTTCTGTGGTCTACATTTTAACCTGCAGCCATTTTGCACTATGTATCTTAACGTTTAAAAGCGTGAACAACTTTTTGACTTAATACAAGACATGAAAAAGTGGACGGAATCTGTGTCTGTTATCAAAAGTCATTCGCAGAATTAAAGAGAGCAGTGAAAAGGCACTTTTTGTCTTTTTTTTTTGGTGGGGAGAGTAAACCTGGTTGTCCTATTAACTTCTCAGAATCCTGGAGGCAGCGCCAATCAGCAGGAACCCCAACAGCAGCTGCAAGGATCCGTGCATTTGCATCAGACTGGAGCCATTGCAGCTATCGCTGGAGCAGTAGCATTCTTCCCAGTAAACGCCGTTCTCGTAGACGCCCCAATTGCAGACACCAGTAACCCCGGTATCGGAAACGGATGCACATCGTCGGATGACCTGACGCCAACGACCGTCCCCTGGGGAAAAAAGGGAATAATTTATTGATATATTGCATTGAAGGAAGCTACTTCCAGATGATAAGAATAATAATAGAAAAGGTTAACCCTTATCCAAAGACTATATAAGGACTGTTAGATGTTTTTTTTTTATTTTTAATTTTAATTTAATTTTGGTTTAAGTTTTTCTAACGCTACAAGTACAAACAAAAAATAGATGCTTTTTCTTATGTAGTCTTTAGATTTTTATAAAAATAAAACCGTAATTCTGAATAAATTAAATAATTTAACACAAAATCCTAAAGTAAATGTTCCAAAACAAAGTTATAAATTTTAGTTTCAAATAATTTACAAATATAGTCTTACGATCAGTTATATTACTAGAAGTCTATTCATGCATTCCCACCTTTTTTTATTATTAAGCATTAAAAAACCTGAAGAAACAATGCGCTAAACTCAAAGATTACTGTTGACCCATCATTGAAAACTACATAACTTTACTACATTGCTCAGTTGGAAAGATAAAACCCATGATTTTCCAGTAGAAAGAAATGTACAACCATATTTTATATGGATACTGGGTTTGCTATGATCATAGTTAAGAGATCATCTGGGCGCTCCACTAAGGATCCCCCCAAAACTCACAGATAAATCCTCGGGGTCCCTGCTGCACCACCTTCATGCAGAAGGAACCTGGCATGTGGCTCTCGTCGCTGTTGCACTCGATGGCGATGTGCTCCGTTCGATTGAATCGCTTGTAGGCGCCGCAGCTGTCGTGTCCTTTGCGATCCTGGTCCGAGGAGCACTGGTAGCACCGGATGGCCCAGCTGCCTGAAATATTTCAATGATTAATTCCAATTATCTAAAAACACTTGCCTAAGCCACACCCAAAAAGCCGAGATTAAAAGGTGGCTCATTGGAATTTTTACGACTGCGGCGCTATTACCCACCGCAAATGGCCAGCGTGAGCAGCAGGAAGGAGCAGCGGATCAAGACGTTCATGTTTGACTTAAAACTGCAATTGTGCGCTTCGTTTAACTTAAATAAAATGCGATTAAACCAGGAAAACAACAAATTGAAATAAACGCGAGGCCTGGTGTGACCGTTTGCGGGGTAGCTAGCAAATGCCTGCCGTGACCAATTCGTTGTTGGTGACAACCCTTTTTTCTTAAAGCCTAGTACTCAGTTCGGCTAAGAGTTTTACTAGTCGAAAAATATTAATCTTCTGGTGTGACCGAAGTTTTCGGAGTTCACCCGCAATACATGTAGCATGGTCTTACTCTCAGCAAACAAATTAGCTGGCGCCAATTTTAAAATATTACAAAACGTTGAGCCGACCTGGGTCGCAAGCTTTAAATTCGCTGTTGGAATGGCGATATGTATTGCAGCAACTCCTACAGGCAGTTTTCCATTGGTTTTTGTGGTTTTCCTTCCATTTGTAAATTGTTATTGGCACACCGCTTCTGCACAAACACAGCCAAAGATCAAATTTTTTATTCTTTGGTCGGCGGCTAAAGGCGTTCATCGGAATTCATCCGCTAAATCTAGTATTTATTTGGTATTTCCTTACTATTTCCTTAGCTCAACTGAGTACCGAGGGGGGAAAAGTCCCCGGCTAAGGGCTTTAGCTACCTATTTGCCTCTCGCTTACTCCTATGTTTAGCTAGCAGTTTTCGTCGTACTGAGTACTAGGCTTTAAGCCTAGTACTTAGTTCGGCTAAGAGTTTCACTAGTCGAAAAATCTTATTACTTTAGTGTGACCGATGTTTTCGGGGTTCATCCGCAATGCATGTAGCATGGTCTTACTCTCAATCAATTGACAAACAGCAAACATCAACTGGCGCCAATTTTAAAATTTTACAAAATGTTGAGCCGACCTGGGTTGCAAGCCTTAAATTTGCTGTTGGCATGGCGATATGTATTGCCGACTCTCCCACAGACAGTTTTCCATTGGATTTTGGGGTTTTCCTTTTATTTATAATTCGTTATTGGCACACCGCTTCTGCACAAACACAGCCAAAGATCAAATTTTTTATTCTTTGGGCCGCGGCTAAAGGCGTTCATCGGAATTCATCCGCTAAATCTGGTATTTTTTTGGTATTTCCTTACCATTTCCTTAGCTCAACTGAGTACCGCGGTGAAAAAAGTCCCCGGCTAAAGGCTTTAGCTACCTATTTGCCTCTCGCTTACTCCTATGCTTAGCTAGCAGTTTTCGTCGTACTGAGTACTAGGCTTTATATTTGAAAATAAAAAAATGTTATAATTTTAAAAATATTAATTTTTTTAGTACTATTTATTCAATCCTACTATAAATGTTAAGATTAAAATATGGTCAATTCTATTTTCTTTCTACTATTTAAATCATTTGTGACCTCTACTCCAATTTATAGAAGTACATTTCTTGTTTTATTGAGATATGTTCTAAAATAAACTTAATCTAATAATTGGCAGGCTTTATCGTCTGACTTTTGTTTTAGTCCATTACATTAAATACATCACAATGAATATTATATTTTCAATGTTTTATCATTCGAACTATGTTTGTTGATGAAATTATATTGATTGTAGTGATCAAAATTGAAAAACATTTCTCAAATTTATTAGCCTTGGGGACTTTCAAGTAAAATAGGTGAATTTTTTTAAAATTTAAAAATGAATTTTTAGCAACGGCTTTCAATGGTTTCTTTGAACAATATTGCCACCCTGTTTTCTTAATCCAATTTCGTTTCCCCGGTTTGTGTCTCGGATATTAACAATTTGTACGATATTTTTGACGCGTCACGGCACGGTCACACCACTATTTACACGCCCAAAAATTCAATCAATTGAAACGCAACGAAAAGCACAAATAACAAATAACACGATGAAAACGGTGGAGAAATGTGTCCTTTCCGTGGTGGTGCTCTGCTGTCTGCTGCAAGTGGGTGAGTAAACTGTGCGCCAAAGGCGCCCACAACTGCGCCTGCGCAGCCCAAAGAACATGCTCAAATGTGTGAATGAATTTTTCGCAGGCCAGGCGATCAAATGCTGGGATTGTCGCAGCGATAACGATCCGAAATGCGGGGATCCCTTCGACAACAGCACTTTGGCCATCACGGACTGCCAGCAGGCGCCGGAGCTGGAGCATCTGAAGGGCGTGCGGCCGACGATGTGCCGCAAGATCCGGCAGAAGGTCCACGGGGAGTGGCGCTACTTCCGCAGCTGCGCCTACATGGGCGAGCCGGGAATAGAGGGCGACGAACGCTTCTGCTTGATGCGCACCGGCAGCTACAACATCTTCATGGAGTTCTGCACGTGCAACAGCAAGGATGGCTGCAATTCGGCCGGTGTCCATCGGCTCGGCTGGCTGGGCGTCCTTTCGGGCACCCTCATTTCCGTCCTGGTGGCGCATCTCCTGCGGCAATAGTTGGATGGGAGTCCTCCGTTCGTAGCCATTTCCACGCTTCCTTTGGCGCAAGACTGTACGGGAATAATAGGAAAGGATTTACTAAATTTAAAACCCTACTTTTGGGCCAAGATTCGTTATAAACAAGCGTATAGAAAACATAAAACTTTATATTTTAACATCTATTAGCTTCTTTAGATCCCCTTAAATTGTATGAGACTTTAAAATCCTAAAAATGTTTCCAAACTGAACAAGTATTCCATATTATTTATGATTTACTTGCATAATCCTCTATCAATAGTCACCAATTCAATTTGTTCTGCTAAACATCAAGTAACCCAAAATTAGTTTTCTGTGATCTATATTCTCTATATATCAGTTAATACTACAAAATCCCTTTTTATGATTTACGAACAGTCTTGCTTAAAATGAGCAATGTGTACTAAAGTGCCTTTCTGTAAACCACTCGAAACTAAACTTAAGCCTGGAAAACGTTTTCCGTCCAAAATGTATCTTACGCACATGACATTCCCCCATCTCGTAAGCTCAATATCGTAATCTCCACTACTTTCTACTTGTATTTTGTAATGTTTTTACAAAGAAACACTAGTTTTAGTCGCCAGCAGGCTTACAAGTTTTTATTGTAATGCAAAGAAAATTAGAACATTTTTGTAATTGAAATAAACGATTTATACACCAATCAGATTTTTTATTTGAATTTTAAATTAAAGCGTGGTTACCTTTATTAAAAATGGTTTACGGTTTAGTGGTTAAGTATGTATGATTCAACGTTGCAGTGCTTCAAGAATTTATAAAATTATGTTTTTTTAACATTAAATTAAAGTATGGTTACATCTAAAGTTTTCACTAGTATTTACAGGAATTTCTCGATACATTTTCACTTACGAAATTTAGGTAATATAAACAATCTAATCGACATCCTTATAGTTTTTTCTTCCTGCTTTAACAAAATAGGCAGAGATGGGGAAAATGTATTGATGTATCGACTTGACTTGGAACTCGCGTCCTTTTCCAAGTCTGATATTAGAACTTACTGCGCGGCGTCTACGACCCACGAACTTGCGGTTGTTTATCTGGAAAAGCAATTAGCTGAAAACTATAAGAAAAACTACATGCCGAAATTACAAATACAAATTCCGAAGAATGGCAGAGAATTAGAAAATGTATCGATAGGACCGATTAAAGCTTCCGATTTTCCAGTGCTGCTAAACACTTTTTTCCAATTCTATCGTGATTTCTCTCATTTGTGATTATTATGCAAAGGGAACCAAACGAATTTTATTTATAATTCTTCTAATTCTATAAATAATTCTTCTAAATCTTTTTAACTCTAGTTTAAATAATTTGTTTCTAAGGTACGATTTAAAAAGGTATAAAATAACCATTAATTATGATAGTAAATTGAATCACTTTTAGATTAGGGTATAATTACTATCAAATTAATTAACTGTTCAAAATTGTACAGAAAATTTCAGCGTTTGAGAGATCAACCCATATTATTAACACAGCTTCATTAAGCTGTACAATTTTTTAACACTTCAAAAAAGGTAAATATTTAATTTTTCTTAACCGTTTCAAGGTATGTTTTAGTAAGCTAAGAAAATTAAAAATGGCCTCCTTATTTTCATTTAAAAAAATAAATGCGTACCAGTATATTACAAAGTTGCTGTGACTTACCGTGACGATGCAACGTCAACATTTTATGGAATACCCTCGATACTTGATAATTTCGCATCAAATGTAAGGCAGGGCTGCAAAATCGATAAGAACCTTGTTCATTGACGATTTCTCCCATCTCTAATTCTCTCTTCCTTTCGTTTTGTTCGTTTTGTGAGAGTGGTCCGGGATATTTTAATTTGTTAATTGTGTTATTTAAGACTTAAAGAATCATAACGATTTCTTAAGGCAAAGATGCAACGAGTGTTTGATTGTTAAGAACTGTTTGTGGCGTTTTGTTTTGAGCATACATTTTGTTTCCATCTTCCAATTGCAAAGTCTGCCAGTCCCGTTGTCGCCATCTTGTTTTTTTTTGTCCGGCGTATTTCATTTGTTCTTGTATCACCTAAACTTTTAATTTTATCAATGGATGATTTTTTTGACTGTGAGTATGGACCCATGGATTCGGAGCGTCTTCATGGCAACATCCTTAACTTTAATCAGTTGCGTCTGGAGCTCTTGGAGTATTGCAGGTATAATAATATCTCCCTACTTGATCAAAATTAAAATTCTTCCTAGCAAAGTTGTGCAAATTAAATCTTTATGAAAATACCAATGTTGAAAGTATAAATTCTAAATTCTGGTCATTAACATTTTTTTTTACATTTTACATTTTTGTTTTTAGGAAATTATAAGGAAATCCTTTTTTAAGTTTATGAAATTAAAAAAAAGTAAAAATATTTGAATTAATAAAGCGAAAAACAGTGGGAATAATTTCTAAATAAAGTATCACAATCCTTAAAAAATATTTGCAACATTTTGTTAAAGAACAACCAATACCTCCGAAAATTTTATTAAAATACATGCTTTTTAACTTTAATTTATTTTATTCAAGATTTTAATTAACAATTTACATTTTTTTTTGTACAGGTACGTTATCCACATTTACTTTTTAAATTCCTCGATTGGGTATGGAATCGGCTCACAAGCTCATGTGAAGGGCGAAGATCGCCAGGAGAGCAGTTGCACTGACAGCCAAAAAGCGTCCCGCTCCGGAGGCATTGCACAAGTCACCTTTGCAGGTGTAGCAGCTCTCCACCTGGCGACTGTGGGTCACCGTGCACTCATTCTCCTTCTGCCCGATGGACTCAAAGTGGCAGTCCCGAGATACAATCGTTCCAGCACGGTCTGTGGAATATATATTTCAATTTATAAAACTATTATTAAAATCGTTAAATCTAAAGACAAGATTCTCGACATTATATACACTCGTTGATTAAAAATGTTGGTCCATTTCTATAAATAATGTTAAATAGACATGGTAATTAAATTTCAATCCTCATGTGTATCTGATACAGATAAATAGTTTACAAATGATGAACTGAAATTCTATATAAACAGAATTATAAATATTAAGTCCATGCAAATCAAGCAAGAGTTATAACTAATAGTTTAAACTAGTTATTTTTGGTTGGCAATAAGTAAGACTATTTTATTACTAGTAAAACTAATAGTTTTAGTCATTATTATGCATGTGGCTTATTAATTAAGATTAAACATTTTGTTGCACTTTAAAGAAGCCGATAATAGAAATGGACAAAACCGACTCCAGTTGAGCAAATACAAACACATAAATATTACATCTTTTACACACACAACTATCTGTATTAGTCATAATTGCAGCCTTTTAGCTGTAAAAGTTCCCCTATAATTAACTACTTTATTTATTTACTTTTAATAAGCTTAAGGAACTATTCATTAAAAATGCTTCGTATAATGTAGGCAATTTAAAATTGGCAAAACAAATTTAATTATATTTTAGAAGTCCTTATTAAATGGCTTTAATTTTTTTCAATTTTTAAGTTGTACTTTATTGTTATCGATTGCCAATATTTTTATGAGTTTATTACCCTCTCAATATTCATATTTGATTATATAAAATTTTGTATAGGTAATTTCTGATCTTAGTATTTATTCAATTCCACAAATTAATTATTTTCGAAGCATGGATGTCTCTTTCTACTTTTCAATTGTTCGCCGAGCTTTTTAACTCTATCGTCTTACGACTGAGAAACGCACTGTATCTGCTTTGCATACGATTTCTCAGTTTGTGTTTTGTTTGCCATATGTTAATTGGAACTGGTACCCCCTTCCCGATCTCGACCGCTTTGTTCGGGTGACATCACGTCTTATTAAAGTGTTCATTGCGTTCAAGGTGCGTGAGCCTCTAATATTTGAATCAGTATGCCGGACGGGATCTTCGTGGGATTTCACTCACCGCTGGTGACCACCTTGTTGCACCTGGTCACTGCCTGCAGTTGCTCCATGGTGTTCGGTTTCGGCACGGTATCACAGTCCACGGCACGGATGTTGGAGGCGGAATCGATCTTATCCTTGGCGCAGTTGGGATCCGTCAGGGATTTGCATTGATAGCACTTGATGGCCGAGGCTGAAGTAGAGAAATTAATTAAATTCAATTAATATTTATTAATTCACTCCAATGGTCTTGGTCAAGGTCGCCGATTTGAATTTGCTTAGCTTGTAACCAGTTTGAGATCTCCATTTCCCTCTCGATCTCACTCTCGTTAGCCTTATGTAACGCCCTCAGCCAAATAAACAATAACTCTCAGCCCATACACTTCTCCAGACCCCTGTCATTTGGCGGCTATGAAGTCATCCCTATATTCGTTTAAAAAAAACGTATGGAAAACAACGTGAATATATCGGTTTTTTATATTTCTTATTATTTTCGGATGCCATACAATGCTTTGGTATTTGAAATTATTGTGGGCGCGTTTCAAATACTTTTATGGTGGACGTGATGACTGAATTATTTGAATGAAAAAATGTATAAACATTTCTTGAGCAATCGAATTGTATGAAACTTAACTTTTGTATTTATTACTATGATCTTTTTCAGTTTTCCCCTTTTAAACACCCTCTAAATTTATTCTTTTCTTAACAGTTTATTTTTAATGTCACTATTTTCCAAGTTTTCACTCAAAACTGGTTTTTGTTTGACATAGTTTATTTAAATTCGTTTATTTATGTTACTTTCTAGCAGAAATGTCATCTTAAATTTGAAGGTACTTACCAGTGTGCATAACGCACAAGGCGATAAGGAGAACACCAATCACTTGTTTCATCATTATTGCTAGAATTTTAAAATTCTATAAACTTTATATTGTAAAAATTATCAAAAACACTGTCGGTTTGATCAGTTTGGCAGACGCTAAACAACTGAAATTAGTTTTGGGTTGGTTTTCCGCACTCTTCCCATTTGCAACTTGTTTTCGAGTGAGATTAGCTAGAAAAGCTCTGCTCATTTACTCAAAAACGGGCATTAGTTGAGTGAAACTCGGAACGAGTTATTCGTACGTTATGTCAATCTAGAGATCCACGCATTGGGGTCGCTGAAAATAAAACTATTTTGTTTTGATCAGCAGATTCGTAGGCGGTTAAATGTATTTTTTCTTACTGCCGTTATGGGTTCATTTATTGTTGTAGGTTGTGTGAATTGACTGCGGTTGAACTATGGGATTTTTCCATCAATTGAATTTAGTGCGGATAATGGAATTAAATTGCATAGTGACATAGTTTTCTGATTTGGGTTATTGAACTATTATTGGCAAGGTGATAGGTAGAATGATTTCACAGGCCGACAAAATGTGGCATGGGTCGGTGTCCAGGCCTGCCACCATTTTATTTCGATAAATGAAGCTTTTCTAAGCATAAGTTGCCACTACGCCTATAGTCCATCAGCTCTGGTATTTGCGGTATCCTTAATTTAAGAAAATCACAAATTTTCTTCGGCTTTTGGGATATATCTTCAAGAGTGGTCAACACATTTTGGTAATCTTTTCGGAATTAAATAGTTACATGTCTCTTTTATACGGTCGTTTTGGAAAATTCAATCTAAGTCAACCACAAGAGGAGGTGGGCGCATTCAAAATTTTAAAGTCACAGCAAAGTTTAAAAATCTTCATTTGTGAACAGCGTTTAAGAATTAAATAAAAATATTTTCTTCTACAATGCATTTTTGATCCAAAGACACCTTATGTCCTTGCTGTTTAGGACACTCATCAGGTTTTGGTGAACTGTTTTGGAATTTTAAAAATTGTTTTTCTTTCTTCCTTCACAGTGACGATTCACAAACAGTGCCCAAGCCTGTCACTATTTTACGTAACGCGTAACTATTTTTGAGCACAAGTAACCCTTGCTCTAAAAATATTTATACATGGGCGTAAGTTAAAAGCTGGAGGGGGATTACACTTCAGGCATTTTAGCCCCCAAAGATTAGTAGCCTACGCTCATGTGCTTATATTCAAAGCAAAACTACTTAGATCGTTTAGAAATATGTTATTTAGAATTGTGACAGGTTTGGGCACTGTTTGTGAATCGTCACTGTGAAGGAAGTAAGAAAAACAATTTTAAAAATTCCAAAACAATTCACAAAAACCTGATGAGTGGCTTAAAAATTGAGGACATAAGGTATCTTTGGGTCAAAAATGCATTGTAGATGAAAATATTTTTATTTAATTTTTAAACGCTGTTCACAAATGAAGATTTTTAAACTTTGCTGTGACTTTAAAATTTTGAATGCGCCCACCTCCTCTTGTGGTTGAGTTAGATTGAATTTTCCAAAACGACTGTATAAAAGAGACATGTAACTATTTAATTCCGAAAAGATTACCCAAATTGGTTGACCACTCTTGAAGATATATCCCAAAAACCGAAGAAAATTTGTGATTTTCTTAAATTAAAGATACCGCAAATACCAGATCTGATGGACTATGGGCGTAGTGGCAACTTTTGCTTAGAAAAGCCTCATTTATCGTAATAAAATGGTGGTAGGCCTGGACACCGACCCATGTCACATTTTGTCGGCCTGTGTTTTAGGTGTAAGGCAAACAATTTTTCGAGTAGATTTTCAAAGTACGTTTTATTATATTAAAATAAATAATTATATCAGATCTTAAAACTATTATTGAATTTGAATTATAAATATTTTTTTTATTTTTTTTCAACTTCAGTTGTTTGTGATTTATAAATATTAAATAACCCTGCTACGTGACTTATTATTCTATAATTATTAAAAATAGAGGTTCTTGTATATTTTCAAAAATTACCCTCACTCATTTAATTAAATGTTTGTAAGCGTTAATAACAGTACTTTTTTCCCACATATTTCGTCCATTCTCTATCAATGTGGGTGATTATCGAGAGTTCAAAGACCTTAAGCAGCTCGATTAATCCTTTTCCTATTGTTGTCTCCTCCTTTGTAGCTTTACTTAAAGATTGTTCCTTTTTTGTGAGCACTGATTGCTTATTTTGTTGCATGTTATTTGAGCAATCGACTCATTGAATCTCTTCCTTTTGTCTGCTACCATGGCAATTTTGGTCTAAGAGGAAAATTCTGCGATAAGAGCAGCCGTCTGGGGAGCAACAAATCCTTTCTGCGAAGAGAAAGGAGTGTGTGTATTGCAGTTACAAAATGGCCATTTAAAAAGATCTATAAATATCTTCGTCTACATCTTAGTTTAAATAGTCGGCAAGCCCTCGAGCAACTTTGTCACATTATAGAACTTCTTCATGCTAAATTAAATTCTCACATCTCAAAGCTTTTTGAGCATTTATTTTGTTGAGTAGAAAATATATTGTCGGTGTAGCGAAACTTGTTTCAATTGCGCCGCAAAAAAAAAGTAACTCAATGAGTTTGTCAATTAGCATGGTGTACCAAATATTTAAATTCGCTCACTGCTTTAATAAATGAAATGAAATTATTGTACATACATAATATAATTATCTGATAAAATATATTGCTCTGTAATAAGGAATAATCCTAAAAATATTCCAATTAATTTAAGTGTAACACCATTAAAAATTTTAATGAATAAATATTTGTGGTCGGTATTTTTTCATTTCAAAATGAAAATGACAATATTTTGACATCCCCTGTATCCATCTAACTTGCTCCATATATTTGCCAAATGACTTTGATTACGCATAATTAGGGAATGTGCCATTAGATCGATCTGACAACAATGTGACCACTACACTACATTTCGAATAATGCATTTCCCAATGAAAACTTCCATTAAAGGGTTGGTTTTATGAGGGGGCGTGGGTCATAGAACATTTTCAATTTCCGGCTTCTCAGCGGGTTTTTGCAGTTCATTGTTCAAATATTTTGCATTCAGTTGCATTGTCAAGCCGCCAATTTGCCACATAATTACAAATGCCGACATCGGGGCAATTTTTGGGGCCAGGGAATCGTATATGTTGTGGTTCATGATTTATAGAATATCTTAAGCGGATTTGCTTTTTCCATTTTTGCCACATCTTCATCTCACTTTTCTCAGCTTTCTTCTGTGGTCAGCTGCAGCAGCAAATTCTGATTGAATTTCTTTTATCTTCTTTTTTTCTGCCACCGCATAGCGGGCATACAATTTTTCTATTATATTTTAGATGAGGAGAGGGTATGAACAGTTGCATCCTTCTTCTTATTTCTCTAGAGATGTTTGCGTTGGCTTTAAATTCAATTATATATTGGGAAAGCTTGGCTAAAAGTGAATGAAAACCAATTCCTTTTGTAGATACCCTCTTTTTTTTGTATAGTTAAATTCTGCATTAGCTAAAAAAAATGAATTCAGCATTAGAATAGATAATATGTAAAAATAAAGTTATAGAGAAGTTTTTAGCAAACTCGAGGTCATGCCGGCTTAGACTTCAAGAAGTCCAAGACGTCGGCATTATGCCAAACACACAAAAAGCTAAACTTTGGGAAGTTTTAAATATTTTTTTATTTTTTTTAAAACAGTCTGTTTTGTTTTTTTTAATGTTTATAAATTTACTGTTAATTACAAACAGTAAATTTAAATAATCTACATTTGTAAAGTAACTAAATGCCGGCTTCTTTTACAAACATTTTGCAGCAATATTGGTTGTTATCAACATTATCATCAGCCTGAGGTTGATGTGACTCACCCCATCTTTGTTCCATTTTTCTTTTACTTCTTTTCCGGAACCAGTTGCTGCAGGTTGCATCCGAAGTCTGGAGTCTAGTTTCCCATTGCCTGTTGCTGACCATTTTTCGCAATATGATATTTATAGCTATTTCATACTTATTATATTCAATCTGCTTTTCGTTGCACTCGGACAGCAACAAATTGGAGAAAATCCCTTCAACGAAATTTGACTTGCTCTGCACAATTTTAATAAGCTTAGGGCTGGGGGAATCCATACAGTCTTCCTTTTTGCTTTGGCTTTGGCTCGGTTCAGTCTGGTCTGGCCAATTGTCATTTCATTTGGAAAACCTGCTCTACCAGAAACGAGCTGAAAATTTTCAATTTCGTCTCAGGATTTTCCTGCATTTAATGGCGGGGAACAAGAAGGATCGAGAGGAAGCAAAGTCCATTACCAAAAAACATAAACAAATTGTTTGGCACTTTGCAAGGGAAACTAAAACACGCCCATCTAATCTGTTCAATAACTTGGAAAATCACTGCCAATAAATCAAAATGACTTTGCAGGATGTGTGTAGTATCCGAGCTCCGAGGCAGGCGAACGATAAGAAATCAATGTCTGGCCATTGTTGGGCTGAAGTTGAAGGGCGGCCTTAGAACTCTTAGGGAAATTTAAAATTCAACACTTCGGGGGCGGTATAAATTGCACATTTTATTTTACGCAACATCAGCAAAAAATCCAGGGCACGAAAAGGCAAGAAATCCATTCTCCACTCAGCTCTACAGAATTTGTGCCTCGGGGCTGTTTAAGGTTATAACGCTCGCTCCTTTGCTTATTTTTTTAGATTTTTAACGCTGCAGTTAACACATCATTTTTCGGGGCATTGTTTCGGTCGCCTTCCATTATCTTTCACTTGCGATCTAATGAAGTGTGCAAAGTGTTGTCTGCCCAACCTCAGGCCCCCACCTCTGTGTGTCTATTTGTATGCGTTGCGAGGGAGTCTCCATTAGCAGATGCGTAGAAATTTTCGCCTTATAAAGGGGGCTTAAAAATCTTTTAATTTGTGAAGTATTTTACTACCACAAACTCAATACAAAAATATTTAACATTTTTTTTAGTGTTTTTGATGCAAGTGTGGGTTTAAATTGTACATTTAAACATATAAAGTTTAAAATACATATCTAAAAATATTAATTCATTTTATGTACAAATCTATAATGTATTTTAATTAACTCTTAATTAGTTTTAAAATTGTTTTAATTTTTTTTTGCGTTTATAATTTGT